CTATAATTTATTATCTACCGACCCTATAATAGTAATTGCACACATTGGGGTGGGGGGGGGGTGAAGAGGACGTGAAACTTTGATGAATTTACCTCAGTCGCGTGTTAATGCGTGCGCATATTTTTAACGGGAATTAAAAATGACGTCCACCCCGCAGCGAAGGCGTTGCTACCCGTTGCCAGGGGCAACCACCATGGTCCGCGCCGGTCGGCAATATTAAATAAGCAAAGAATTAATTAAATAAATAAAGAGAAATCGCACTAAATCGATAATCGTTCCGATTTAAAGTTTAGAGACGAAAAATCGGAAAAGCCTAAGTTTACCGCGGGGCCGGGGGCGTGCACACCTGCAAAATTTAATCTCGGCGAACCCCACGGTCCGAGAGCTACATCCCCCGTAAGGGAGCGTACGTAGATGGACGGACAGACAGACAAAAAATTAATTATATAGGTTAGATAGCTGCGGACTTAATAGCAGTAACTGCACGCATTGGGGTGGGGGGGAGAAGAGGACATCGCACGGTGAAGAATTTACCTCAGCGTTGTGTGTATTTAGCATTTTTAATGCAAATGAGAATTCCCCCCTCCTCACACCGAACGCGTATGTGCATTGCTAGGGGCAACCACGGCTCGGCTTTGTCGCGCATGCGCAGATTTGTGCTTTGGCACGCGAAGTAATATAATATAATAATTAATAGTACTAAATTGTTAATTAAACTACAGTACTTTAAAGTTGACGGATGCAAAATTTGAATAGTGCTGGCTCACCACGGGGCTTATCGCGTGGTACCTGGGAACTTTTTTTAAACTTCTACCCCATGGTTCACGAGTCAAATCCTTCGCAAGTTTCTTCCACACAGGCAGACAGACAGATAGACAAAAAACGCCTTTTATAGGTAAGATAAACACTCTCTACAAATACTCCTTTGTGACAACATCCTTTGGAGTAGGAAAGTCACAGAGTTAGATCTTTTTCTTTTTCTTTTTTTTATATAAAAGTCTCCGTGCGCTCGCGCTTGCGGGGGATTTGGCTCTCGGACGGTGGGGTTTAAGACTGAAATAATTTGCCAGCCAGCACGCCCTAAACCCCGTGGTGGGAATAGGCTATTCCGTTTTCCCATCCGTAACCTTTAAAGTAGTTTAATTAACACATTTGTGCCGTTTTTATTATTCATTATTTACTTATTGCACGACATCGACCGTACCAAGTGACGCCAATTGCGTGGGGGGGGGGGGGTGCGGACCCTGCCAAGTGATGTGCGTTCGCTCGAGCTCACGGGGGACATTTTCTTTTACGCGTTTTACAGCCAACACATACATCACGCTGCGGATATTTTTTCAGTGTCATGTCCTCTTTGCCCCCCCCCCCCCCCAACACGATGCGTCCAGTTTATGCAACAGACTCCGTAGATAATAATATTTTACTGCTTTTTTGTTGCGCTTTTATAACGCTGCCACGGTCTACTGCCTGTCTGTGATTTCTGCTTATTTCTTAAATGCATTTCTATTGTTTCCATCGCTCACGTCACACTATTTACTCATACATAGTACTGCGATACTGATAGCTGTGCCATCATCGGGGATTCCTGTGCCCGTCGATGTGTGTGTGTGTGAGTCCATGTGTGTGTCTTTTGAGTCCATATGTGTGTGCGTGTAGAGCCATGCGTGTCTTTAACTCCATGTGGGTGTCTTTTTCGAACGTACAACGTCAAAGTGCTTATGTGTGTGTGTTAGTCCATGTGTGTGTGTCAGTCGATCTGTGTGCGTGTACATCGATGTGTATGTCAGTCCATATGTGTGTGTTACTCCACATGTGTGTGTATGTCTATACATGTGTGTGTCACTCGATGTGTGTGTGTAAGTCAATGCGTCTGTGTGTGTAAGTCAATGCGTCTGTGTGTGAGTCCATATGTGTGTTAATCCATGTCTGTGTATCTAAAGTAGATATCTGTGTGTCACAGTCCATATGTGTGTATAGGGCTATGTGTGTGTCAGTCTATGTATGTGTAAGTTCATGTGTGTGTGTCTTAGTCCATATGTGTGTGTGTGAGTACATATGTGTGTTTACGTCAATGTGTGTTTACGTCAATGTGTGTTTTAGTCCACGTATTGCTGTGTGCGAGTCGGTGTGTGTGTGTGAGTCGCTCTATGTGTGTACTTCCATATATGTGTGTGCAACTCCATGTGTGTATATCTCAAGTGGATGTCTGTGTGACAGTCCACATGTGTATGTGTGTGTACGGCAATGTGTGTGTCACTCTATGTATGTGTGTGTGTCGCTGTTTGTGTGTACGTCGATATGTGTGTGTAACTCCATGTGTGCGTATCTCAAGTGCATGTCTATGTGTGTGTGAGTCCATATGTGTGTGTGTCTGTAAGTCGATGTGTTTGTGTGTGTCAGTCCATATGTGTGTGTGTGTGTCTCAGTCCATGTGCGTGTGTGTTAGTCGCTGTAACTCCATTTCTTTGCGTGTCTGTCGGTCCATGTGTGCATCTTAGTCCATGCATGTGCTTTATTGACCAGCTCAAGGCCTATGATACCATCAGTAGGCCTGGCCTCTGGGTTGCTCTTCGTGCTTTCCGAATCCCGAACCCCCACTCATCACCATCCTTAAGGACCTTCATGATGGTGAGCGGCCCCGCGTCTTAACTACGTGGCCATGAGTCAGAGCCATTCCCTTTACACCTTGGGGTGCAACAGGGATGTCCTCTGGCTCCCACATTGGACCACGTAGTTCGTCGAGCCTTCAATGCCTGTACCGGAAGAATTCCCATCTGCTATAGATACAATGGGAGGCTAATCGATGCCCGGGTGCGGTCAAGGGATGGCTCCCTATTGCTCAACCACATTATGTATGCCGATGATCTGCTAATGGCTGCTCACTCGGAGGAGGAGTTCGAGGTGCTACTGCTGAACCTGGAGCTTGCCACCAACAGGTGGGGCCTTACCATCAGCCCAACCAAAGCTAAGCACCTGCCTGGCTATTTTGTACCATCGGACACTCCACCCCCACAACTCCCAATTGGTGATGGGGCAGTTGTGGAGACAGTGGAGAGTTTCCCTGGGCAGTGTGCTAATGACCGGCTCCGGTTTAACAGCAGAGGTCTCACTCCGAATCAGTCGAGCTTCAGTATCTTTTCATTGGCTGCGTAACGCTGTGTGGAAGCTACCTGGTCTATCACTCCGTACGAAGCTTCAGGTCTTCTCGGCCACGGTCATTCCCTCCCTTCTCTACGCTTGCGAAACTTGGACCCCCCTAATGAAACATCTTCGCCGGTTAAAAAACATTTAGGCTGGCCTGCCTACGATCCATCCTGGGTTTAACCAGGCTGCATTGTGTGAGGAGCTCACAAATCCTTGAAAGATGTGGACAAAGTCCCATCGGTGACCTCCGGCAGGCAAGGCTGCGTTGCCTGAGTCATGTAGCCTGCATGGCCAGCCACCGCATGCCTAAACAGCTTTTGTTCCGCCGGATCGAGGGGGCTAAACGGGCGCGGCACGGGCTGGAGAAGACATGGAGTGATGTGCTACAGGAGGACTTGGAGCTGAGTCCACTTGCGGATGACTGGTACCAGCCGTGTCAAGATCGGCCACTGTGGAGGAGGCTCCTGAAGGACGCTACTGGCCAGTTGGAGTCAGTCACCCTCCAACAACAACGGAGGGGGGAGGAGCAACGCTCACAACAACGAGCAGAGCGCCGGGTGGCTAACGCACAGAAAGTTGCCACAGTAGGGGCCACAGGTGGTGCATCAGCCAGTCGTCTCAGTCAGTCGACCTGTGCCATCTGGGTTTTCCCCGTGACCTCTTGCCAGCGGCGTTCGACACTTCACGTGGCCTCCAGGTGCACATAGCCTGGCACAAGCGTTGTTGTGACGTCACCGCCACTTAGTGGCGAATGGCGGTTGTTCAGTCTATGTACGTATGTGTGAGTCCATTTGTACGTGTAACTCTGTGTGTGTATCAATGGATTTGCATGTGTAACTACATGTCTGCCTTTTTCGCCCGGGCAACGCCGGGTACTAACCGCTAGTAATCAATAAGCTTGGTGGTCAAAAACTTGAAGGCGTTTTGATCAAAAAGCGGTGTTTCGACGTGCAATGTGTGCTTCGACATAATATTCCTGAACCCTTGGGTGTCCTATTTTATGAGGCTATTTCAAATAATTTCTGTGATACTGTCCATCAAGGGTGGCCCATAGTGTGGTTGATAAAACCTATAATATAACAGTCTATATTGAGTTCAAACCTCCGATTAGCATAGTTGGCTACGTAGGGTGCGAAAGAAGTTCAAGAAAACGAGTTTGCATAGCCCCTGTGGGTTCCAGCATGTCTGCAGTTAACCATCTTATTAAATCTTCCACACACTTGAAGCATTATGCTACTAAATGTGCATGTGTATGTATTTTGAGATGTCGTTACATGTATTGAATCTTCAAATCCCAATGGAAAAACTACAGCGTTGTCTCATGGAATATTTGTCATAAATTATCTTCCAGTACAATCGGTCCGGCAATTCAGACTGAAGGGGCCGAATGGTGCTCATCCTGCCCGACTGCCTGAAACATCGCAGAAAGTTTTTGTGGACACTTAAAATTATTATACTTGTTTACCAAGTAAAGCCTCCCTACCAACAGTTTGCAGGAGGGGGCGACATTGCTATGTGTAAGCCCAAATGTGAAATTTGCAGGTAATTATTTTGAATTAAGATGCACCAGTTACATAGTTTTTAAAAATTATTATGGAAGGAAACCATAGAGCCTCGAGGAGACCCATGTAGAACAGGTGAGAACATACAAACTCCACACAGAGATGCCCGAGTTGGGATTTGAACCCAGGAACTTCTTGTTTGAAGCACAAGTGTTACCACTCCGCCATGCTACCACGCGATGGGTTTTATTCATGGTGGCAGGATTTAATTCCACATTCATTGTGATAAACAATCATGGTCGGTAGAATTCTCAAGAGTAGACTGTACACAGCTCTCCACACAAGTGGCTTTAATGTAAAATGCAGATCCATGCATACAAAGTAAAGTTTCTACATGTATGCTACACACCGCCTCATGCAAGAAAGTTGTACGCATCTATACGCATTTACAAGGAGAGTACGGATTGGGTTTACGTTTCATAGTGATACATTTATTAAAAATGTGCGCCACCTGCCCTTCTAAAAGCAACTCAGTACGTCAGTGTCTATAGTTTGTGTTGCATTATTAATCGTCTCTCCTACCCATACAGGGAAACTAATTCATCTGTAGCTTATTCACAACACGTATATGTTGGTAGGTTGACAACTAATTCACATACATATTTAAGTGAGTTGTCATTATAAATACCTTAAATACCTTTTAGTTGTGGATGTGTTTTTGGAAAGTTCTTTTTGTCAATAATATTTCTTCAAAAGATGAAAAGAATAACAGCAGCATAGGTCTTGCGTTCTACATATTCCTCTGGTTGGATTAGGGGCTGGACTCATCGATAATCAGAGCGACAGTGGAACGGTTTCCTTCGTTGGATTCATCGTCTCTCTGGTCTGCGGGAGCCCCGTTCATCGCGAGTCTCTCGATGTTTACACCTGGCTCTGGAAGGGGCCTGTCAAAGTCCCTCACGTTGTAGGTGTATTGTCCCTCTTTGCTGATCACTGCAGGAGGGTAGCAGTGGTTGCACAGGATTTCCTCGCTGATGTAGGATGTCCGCTTCTGACATACCTCCCCCGTATTTTCATCTCTGGCGGTGAGGAACACCACCAGCTCTAGGCCTGGCTGCACACTCCCAAGAACCTACAGCAATATGAGACCAAAAGTTAGTTCTTTCGGTAAAGTCACGTAGGCAAAAAATGAAATTAAAATTAATAAAAATAAAACAATAAAAATCACGATGTTTCGGAGGCAACACAAGCTTCCGTCTTCAGGTGAAACCGTCACAGCAAAATATCTGTACCTTATATAGAAGCTGTGACTTCTTGTCTCGTCTGTTAAAAATTCTAACAGATAGGTGAAATTCCTCCCCGTAGAGGGTATTAATTCTAGATTTGAAGCTTTCGTGTCCATACATAGCAGGGGTTACCAAAAATATTTCCCAAAGCATGAGCAAACACTAGATCCAGATTCGATTTAACACAGTACATACAACTTGTGATCTGATCCCATCTGTGAAGGATGTGATCCCTGACATGCAATACCCCGGCGTCTACAAACTAAGCTGTGGCTGCGGCAGTAGTTACATTGGGGAAACTAAGCGACATGTCTCGGACCATGTTCGTGAGCATAAGGCAGATCTGAAACACGGTAGGACCAATACCTTGGCCGTGGCTGATCATTATTATAATGCGGTGGGCCCACACGAAATTTATTTCTCTAAGATGAAGCTACTTTGCAAACCCACTGGCTGTCAATAAAGATTCACTCATGAAGCCATCCATATATACAGACATAGACACAATTTCAACCGAGAAGATGGGTACAAACTCGGCAATCACTAGAAGGACGTTATCAACCAGTTTAAGTCATAATTGGCTGTAATGTTTCCATTTTAGACCTGGCAGCCCTTTAATTGGTGGAAGCCCACCACCGGGACCATCACTGCCCACTACTACCATCACCACTAGCAGTAGCTCTTTACTGGTGGAAGCCCACCACCAGTGCCGTCGTGGCCGTTTACGAGTACCATCACCTCTAGCAGCAACCTCCACCGTCAGCCGTGTGAGTGTGTAAAGCGAGGTGCAATGATTACTTAGCAGCCCTTTAATTGATGGAAACCCACCACCAGCGCCGTCGTTGCACTCTATATGAGTATCATCACTGACACTTGGGCTACGCCCATTTCAAACCTTTATAACCAGTTTGCCTTTAGAGGATGACCCCCTTTTCCTGATGACGACCCCTTGTGTTGCATTCGAAACGTCGTAGCTTTTTGTTATTTTCTTTGAACCTATTTAAGTGACTTTACCGAAAGACCCAAAGAATATGAATTCCTGCAGTCACGAAAGCTTTCGGTCAAGATTTGGTACTCTGTTTAAATCCTTTATATTAAGTTCACTTGCTTGCTTGCTTGCGCGCTTACGACCGTGCAAATCTTTCGGTCGTTTTTTAACCCACTTCCCGTGATCCAATCGAGCTGACATTTTGCACACAGACTCGTTGTGCGTGACAATTTATTTTCATGAAAAATATTTTCCAAAATTTTCCACTTTTTAGGAAAAAAAATTTTCATATTTAATTTAAAATACCAATGTGATAAAAATGAAACTCTTACTCAAGAAAAACAGAAATGAATAATAAAATAAAACCGATGCCACGCATATAAAGGATTTATAGTGAAAAACTTTGTTTTTACGGGTTAATTTTTATTGACCACAGAGGGATGGTGGGCTGAGTCAACCCCCAACCAGGATTTTAATTCACCACTTTCTGATTGCGAAGTGCTCATTCGACTACTGTGCCAGCTGGCCGGAGCATCATCGGGAAAACTAAATAAAAATAGAACTCCATTCTGTGTCTTCATATATCTAAAGAATAAGATTTCCAGGCCAATATTACCAAGTGTCATTTTCTTAACAAGCAAACTCCGGACTCAAATTCTTGGTTCATGTAGAAGGGAAATAATAAAATAATAAAAATAAAACATAATAAAATAAAATTCTCACTACGTTTCGGCCACAACGCAAGCAGCCGTCCTCAGTTGAAGAAACAGAGCTGTCGGAAAGACAGCGTCTTAATGAACACTGCTAAGCTTGGCAGCGTATTTTAAGCTGGGTGGGAGGAGGAGAGCGCCTTGACAAAGGAGTTTACATATCAACAGAAGAATTTAGCATATTGATGACAAATGCAGATATGGGATTAGTCACTTCTTGTGGAATGTGTAGGCGGTGGGGGGTCTCAAAGGCATATTATGCTAGTGTATTATGTAGGATTAGCAGTAATAAAGGGAGGGAAATTTTTATAATAAAGAACTGCAACAGCCCAAACCACCACGTATCAAGCTAGTGCATTATGTGGAAAACAAAAAAGGAGTTTATAAAGAACTACACATACCCTACTACCATACAGTAAACTGATGTGAAAAAAACTAACTATAAACTACATCAATATAATCAATGTACTCAATATACTCTACAATAAGCTGAGCTGTTAACATTAAGTAACTCTTTATACACTACACTATATAATGACTACCATATAATAAACTGACTTTACCGAAAGAACCAAGAATATGAATCCCTGCAGTCACGAAAGCTTTAAATCGAAATTTTAACTCTGGGCTGTTTTCGACCTTCTGGATCTCAGCAGAGTTTTGCTCGTTCCATACGCAGTTAATTCACGTCAGCACTCTCCACCGAGGTTTGTGAGTAACGGTCGCACTGCTCACCTGCTGTTGCCTGTAGAAGGGGCTGGTCTCGGTGATGCCGTGGCAGTATGTGAGTGGGGACAGGAAGAAAGGGCAGTGTTCCTCCCCGTCCATGTGGTCGAGAGTGAAGGGGACAGCCGTCTGGTGCAGCAGCTCTGTGCCGTGCGTCTGGTAAAGCACCGCCTGCAGGCGAATGTGCAGAAGCGGCGATGGCAGCAGGTTCGCCACACGGAACTGGAGGCAGCTTTGCTCTCCCTGCCGGTTCACCACCGCGAAGTGGCTGAAGCGTAGTGTTTCCGAACGCAGCTTGGGCCTGGCTAATTTGGCCACGAAAGCTCCTGTAAGAAAAAAAAATGTGTACGTGTTCAGTCAGCACTGTGTAGACTTGGCCAGGTGGCATCAGTGGTCGAGCAATCGGCTCGCAATCGGAAGGTTGAGAGTTCAATTTCTGGATCCGGCCATTGGCTCAGCCCATCATGTCTGGGATGAAGACAAATGGATCACCACTTTGTGGGGGAAGCTAACTGTGGTTGTCCTATGGATAGACTCACCCACGTCATAAAATGGGGAATTTTCTGGCTGAGGGCTGTAAACGCGATATGAGCACCACCTGATTGTGTGAGAGCTTGGATGGTGCATCAGTTGCCACTGAATCAAAAGCCTTTTCGTAATTGATAAAAAAAAAACATGCTTAAAATGCCAAGGAAAAAAAGTTGCTTGGCCTTCAAATAAAAAAACTAATTAGTTGACCTAGTCACTGCATTTTTATATGGAAACTAAATCTATCGTACTTCAATATAGTTAACGCTCCTAACATATTGTTCATTAAGATGAAGTGAATAGGAAATTCAGGTTATTAAAATGAGGTCTTCCAATCAGTGTTTCCACCATTAACCGCATTGACACTGTCATACGATTCTGTAAAACACAAAGGGTACGGTGGGTGTACCTTGATATACCTTTGGGTTATGTTCTTGAAAACATATTTCCCATAAGGTCCCATTATATAACCTAAGATAAATTCCTACGAAAAGATTTCTGACCCAAAATCTACTGAAATGACACTTTACAATACAACTGAGATCTTCATGCATACATATGTATGATAATGACTAGACAGGTAATGCAAAGCAATTACTGTACACAGTAATTTACTAACCATAAACTGTTGTGCACATTCTGAGGTGATGCTGTGGTGAGGTGTTGATGAGCAGAGGGGTGACTGGGAGGGTGAGGGTGGGGCAGTATCTACAGTATGTACAGTACGTACAGTACAGAGCATGGTTGGATCATACGCTACTTTTGAACTACGCGGCGCTTGGCTTGGAAACAAGGGGTGGCATTACATAATGCGGCGGCCAGGTAAAGAGCCTGGAAAAGTATACAAATTCACGGACAAATGACACAGCATGCATTTACTTTAGGGATTTAGATTATTTTCCAGTAAAAAAATTTTCGAATACAAAATAATATGATCACAAAACAATCAAGGCATAAACCGGAACAGCGTGAATTAATGACGAACGCAATAACGAATATTCGTAAAGCAAATTAACATACATTGGGATACACCACTATCAAACATTTAACCTGAGCATGCATTACTACGTTTGGATTTACTCTTTTAATGTTCATAATTTCAACAGATTTTAGTCACTATGGGCTAGTTTCACATTAAAATGGTTATTCATTAGGTTAACGTGCACTGAATGTAAGTTAACCCTTTACTTCTGTAGCTTTGAGTAATGTGAATGTAAGTAGAGGTCGCAAATTCCTGTTTTATCAGGAATGATTAGACTTTTTTAACGTGCAAAAAATACATTTAGCATAATTCCTTAGGTTACTTGAGTTTGATTGAGGTATGCTCAGTTGGCTTCTCTGCAGTGAATTTATTCATGATTATTTATATAAATAAGCGCACAATTTTATCTGTGATGAACGCTGCACTTTCCGTCATTTTCATGCAGGGGGCGCTGCAAACCTGCGCGCCCCCTGCATTAACGACGGAGGCGCAGGGACAGACGTTCGATTACGTTGGAATCGATCTGCAGACGGCGGTCTTCTCACATGACCAGCTCTGTCGCCTTATCTCGATCCCGCAATCCCAAACAGGTGAAAGGCCGCATCGAACTGAACCCCCAGCAAGGCCATCTATTTAACGACGAGAGAAAATTTACACGAAATGTCGTTTAGCTTTTAATGAAGAAATAAAATGATCTACTTCAAAACAATACAATTCAAAGATGTTTCATTTTAAAACTTCAAAACGGAGCATCGGGTGCTTGCGTGAATGCGTCGTTCGTGTGCAATTTTTTCGTGATTTTCTTGGCCGAAGGCCGTAAATGGTTGTGAGGGGGTGCCACAGGCTCCCCCGAATAACCCCGAGTTTTAAATTTTAGCCAGGAGAGCCACACTGAGTCTCAAGATTCTTTTTCAGGAGGGTCCGGCTTCCTTTTTGCATTCAGGGAGCGACTTTGCGTTGTCGTCCTAATTAAGTATTCTGCCGTGATTTTTTTTTTATTTGGACCATGACACTGGCACACAATGGCTTTACTCTTGTTCAAATTACTTCACAGGATTTTTAAAGTCCACTGTGAAGCAGACGGGAGCATAGCATCTTACGTTTAACACGCAGCACTGCGATACTAACCTGAGCCACAAGCCGGATTCGAACGGCGAATCTCTGCAACAAGCGGCAAACGCACTCCTACTGCTGTCCCACATTACAATTTTGAAATGCAATGTGACGTAGCGACCTCCCACCTGTAATGAGCGCTTCCAGCATGAGTCCCAGGATCATTTGTACAGTAAGCAGAGCCACGGCCTGCGGGCACTCCCCGTTGGGGTACATCTTGCCGTAGCCGATGGTGAGCTGAGTCTCGACGGCAAATGAAAAAGCGGCACGCAGGCTCGTGATTGCCTGCACGCAGACGACGTGCTCAGGGTCCAGGGTGGCCTCCACGTCCCCATGCAGGTACGCAATGAGGTACCAGAGCAGCGCAAACACAAACCAGCTGAGAAGAAAGGTGGCGGAGAAGACGAGCAGCATGAAACGCCATCGCAGTGACAGCAGCGTGCTCCAGATGTCACGTACGTAGCTCCAGCAGCCCATTGAGGAGGAGGAATGCATGTGCAGCGTGGGGCGGCCATCCTTGGTCATGAAGCGTGGCCGAGGTTGGGCCAGCAGCGGCCTCAGGCACACTTGCTCGTAGCCCACACTGTCTCTGTACAGGGCACACATTCTGAGACCACCTGCCATGGTGGTATCAAGTTAATATCACTCTGTTGACGTTCCTTACCCAGTCAGTCTTGGTCCGGTTTCCCTAGTTGGGCTGCATTCTGAGCAATTCCTCTATAAATATTGAACTTCTGAAGGTGGCCGCAGGCGTGGGTGTCAAGTTTGACGACTTTAGACAAACACTCTAGAAGATGGCCGCAACCCAACCTGAAAAACCACTTAAAAGCGCCTGTGGAAAATGTACGTCTTGAATTACCCAGTAAGCATATGTTACAGATGTATTTAGTTTGTATATTAAACCAGAGCAGAAGTCATCATAAGTAGCTTATAGTTTTTGTTTTCAGGCTGCTTTTGGTTTGTCATTCCAAGATGACAGTGTATAGGATTGCTTCTATATGCAATGCTTTATGAAGTCAAGACTTTTCATTTTGCCACGTGATAATCTTGTGCCATGAACAGGATAATGAGCATACAAAGTACAGTGCTGAGGTTATAGATCTCTATAATTGGAATTCACATGCTCAAATTAAAGTTGCAATTAAAGGTTATTGCAAATTGCAGCAGGTGTAAAATGTATTATCCAGTTTTAACTATATTAAACATTGTAAATACTGGCATAGAGATTAGACATATTTGAGAATATGCAAGCGTCATATAGTGTATTATGTCAATATTTCTTATTTCATATTTTAAACTGCATCCATCCACATTTAATAGTTCACTTACTGGGCTGGGGATGTAAGTAGTTAACTTACTAAATGTAGTGTTTATAGGTAATGTTTATATATACATGCTTATTGGTTTGCAAGGTATGGTGACATTGTTGCTTGAGGCTGCGATGCATGAACACCTTTCACTCGGGCAGTTATTTTTTTAGCTCTGGGCATTTAGGAATTGATAAAAGCTAACTTACTGCCTCTACTTGATTACTGTGACATCGTATATAAATCAGCCCTCAGTACTGCACTGAAGAAGCTTGACTCAATTTATCACTCGGCCTTAAGATTTGCATTGAACTGCCCATATAGGACCCACCACTGTGATCTCTACATTGGGTCAAACTTACCATCTCTTAATGATCGACGGCTTGTGCATCAGATCTTATTTATTCACGACTAGCTTTACTACCCGGCTTTGCTCGGGACTTGGATTCACCACGCCCGGCCGCCTTTGCCTCCCCAGTGGTGATGCCCACACACCACACCAGTTACTCGTTTGAGGCTGAGTCGACCTAGGGGAGGCCCAGGAGCGGTTCAAAGAATCGTCACCGGTGTTGGTCGTGAGCGGGAATCGAACTCGGGTGGCCGGGTTTGTAGCGCAGCGTGCTAACCACTACGCATGCGCGGGTGACATGACAGATGTGACGTCACAGCTCACTTGCCGGGCAAAAAATATGCATTATTGCGCCCCCCCCCCCCCAAATACCAAAGTCTATTTTTATAATTTTTGCATTGTGTACAGTCTGGAAAGTACCCACATCGCAAATTTCAAGTTTGTTACATTTCGGGAAGTACGCTAAACATTTTGAACAGACACATTTTTTGTATATATAGATACATACAAAAAAATCAGCAGACTACCTGCTGGATCTCCTCACTGTTTCGAAGAACAAATTATGCCATAACGTTTTCGCTCATTTACCAGCTTCACATTACTTATTGCCGTACAAATACTGGAGGAAGGGCCTTTGCTATTGATGCCCCCAGGGTCTGGAATGTTAGCGCCAATAAACTGCAACTTGGATCACTACCTGTGAGATCTTCACTCAAAACTGCTCTAGAGGAGTTGTACACCCCTAGCTGCCACTGCTATTCAGTGGCCTGAAATCAAAGGTATCCGCTGCAAAGTATGATCTTGAGTTTTGATTATAGTGTGCTGATCTTTAAAGGTGCATTGAAAAATGTTGATACTCCTACTGATACTCCTGCTGTTATGGAGTGACTCATGCTGCCAGCTATGGCTGCAAAGTTTGGTCGTACATGTTATGTATATCGTTTATTGTTAAATTTGAATCACAGTTCCTATGATCACTGTAAAAAATTTATAGCTTTCTTTTGCGGATTTCGAAAACGTTTTGGTTTAGCCATATTTGTTTGTTGTAGTACAGAGTTAGACTGATAACTTTAATTTAAATTGTCTTATAGTTGTTGTTTGACTTGCATCCCACTGGGATTTTTGAACACAGCATTGATATACAGTGCTTTTTCTGGAAGACTTTGCTGTTTTTTCTGGCTTTTCTGTTGCGCATAGTCACTTTAAGATGTTTCTTGTTCATGTTTTTGTTTGTTGCGGTTGCACCGGATTCAAGAGCCGCATGGCTCACAGGGCTATACCTAATAAATAAACTGAAAGAAAAACTAATATAACGTGCTAAACGTAAAGGCCTTCTTTGAAGACCTCGTGGTTCTTGAAGTTACTACAGTGAGGCCCCGTTCACAATTTGGCTCTTAAGAGAGATATTTCGATCACAAGTCACCTTCCTGGATTATTTGCTTAAAGTCGTGAAAAACAACCACAGCTAGAAGAGGCGGTTTCATTGAGAAGGTAACATACTCTTAAGTGATTTTGGAAAATGTAATGGCTGTCTCTAATATTCACGTTTGTTAAATTTGAAATTCACAAACTCGTACCGTTTACATTTTTTCTTAACAATTCGGTCACACTTATTTGTCAAATATATTCTTTGGGTCTTTTGGTGAAGTGATCTAGATAGGTTATTTTCTTTGAACCTATCTACGTGACTTTACCGAAAGACCCAAATAATATGAATTCCTGCAGTCACGAAAGCTTTAAGTCAAGATTTGTGAAATATTCTTAAGCTTGACTCTTGTTTCCACCTCTGTGATTTGGAGCGCCATGCGGCCGGCAAAGTTGACAGCGCACTGTACGTTGAGTTTGCTCGCAAGTCTTTCTTGGCCATACGCAGCAACGTGTCTTTTTTAGCCATTGGTTTTAATATATGGCCCAGAATTGAAAGGTTACAGGCTGCCAACATCACACTAACATTCTATGTAAAACATGCTGCTTGCCTCGGTCAACTTAGCAATGGTTATCTTGAACAAAAAATAAATATACCCCTGGTTTCAATGGACTCTCATCTGGTTATAAATGTCTACTAATACTGTTTTTCAACAACTGAAGACAAAGTAGGACATTTTGGAACATTCTTTATTATGTCAACAATACAGTAATATTTATTGCGTGTCATTTTGAGACTTTTAATTTGTAAAAAAATGTATTACCCCGTAGCGACTTAAACGTTTCACGCAGTGCAGTGGAAAGGCAAGACGAGGCATGAATGATGAAATGATCTGCGCTATTTCATCATTTTGCCGTTGGAACCAAGTAATATGTTATTGTTTATAAAAATACACACTGTCATTCTTACAATGAAAACCCGTTTTTATGAATATTGGGTTGCATGCATTTTTTTAGACCCACCTTTGCTGGTCGTCGCTGAGCTGTCTAATAGTTGTAGAATGGATAGCAGCACAAATGTATTAATCACTCGTTTTGCGTATGATGTGTACGTGTGTATGGTCTTTAATAAGTTACTCGGTGGTTATTGTTAATGTAATAACAAGCGACTGTTCTTACCGCTGGCGGTCTTTAGCCGTTCTTTAGACAGTCTTATTTAAAATCAAATGGCGGGAATTGTGTTGATTGGCACAAATAAATGGTGCAGCGTCAGGCCTGACGGAAATGTGATAAGGAAACCGCAAGAACAAATTGGGTTACTCCACATAGTACCCCGTGTAGTTTTATGTGTTTAAATATAAAGGACAAATCTGTAGCTTGATAATGTAAATTAGCATGTTCTGTTTACGTGACAACCCTTAATAGTTGGCTGTGTAGGGTGGTGGTGGGTCTTGATGACACATTTATATATTTAGGTGATCTAACCCAAAAAAAACCTTATGGACAGTGTGGTGAAGTATGCTCAAATGATGCCCCCGTGACTCACATAGTTTGGTAAGGCGAGTGTCCAGCAGTGGATTGACCAGCGATGTAAATAGTTATAGAGTCATTACAGGCCCGATGAGTCAGTGGTAGAGAGAGCGGCTCACAATCGCAATGTTGAGAGTTACAATCCTGGTTTGGGTTGATAGCCTATCATTCATCTGGGGTGGATAAAATTATGGTAGTACCACTTTGTGAGGGAGTCAACAGCGGTTGTCCTATCGATAGACTCGCCTACATCACAGGAATGTAACATTTCTACCACTGGCTCAGTGCTGTAAGGAGGATATGAGCATCACCTCAATACTTGTTTGTGCAGAAAATAACTGAATTCTTGACAATAGATCATTTATTAAGCATTGGGCTGGAACTCAGTGATTAAGCGATGTCAGGATGCATAGGTTAAAGATGTTAACTGATGTCACTAAACACGTAAAATAATCATGAGCGCTATCGTGGAGACTGTACGTAACAATAAATAAACAGCCGAATGGATGTGTGAAGAAAAAATACTTGTATTTATTATGTGGAGAGACCAATATGGGAATGAGGTGTGTTGCCTCGTTATTATATACCAGCCTTTTGCTCGTCCAAGGACGGGTGTATTGCAGTAAATCTGAAACTTGCAAGTGAAAAGCAGACTGCAACGTGATATTCATTGCATCCATTTGTGTGCAATTTGTAAGGCCGCGGTGACAGACTTATTTCATTTAAAGGTTTTAATCCCTCTTTCATCAAGACGTCCTTTTCACTTCTATGTCTCAACAGCGTTACGGAGATCGTGTGACGTGATGGTTCTGCCTTTGTCGCGAGGGTTGTGAGTTGACGCTGAGGAGGGGGGGAGGAGGCGCATCGCCTCCCTATGTGGAGTGACGTCACCCGCTAATTATTATTAATGGACGGAGGGTGTCCGTTTGGATGATGTCACCTGTTCATGATTATTAATGAAGGGGGGGTTCTCCATGCGGAGTGACATGACCTGCTCATTACTCATGAGGGATGGGTCCATGTGGAGGACGTCACGAGCGTTAAGGGGATTCCTGGGTGATTATAGTAGGTATTACGAGGGTGGTTAAGTGGATGAGTGATGCAGTGTGGTGGTTGAACACAATATGGATGAGACGAAATAGTCAGTCTGGTCGACCGAATCTACAATATGTGTGGAGGAATCGATGAGTGAAGTTCATAGAAACAGTAACTATGGTAGTAGCCCGAGAAATCCTGTGGTTAGAATATACAGAAACTGGAATTGTAGGTGTCGGGCACATTGGTGTAAACGAAAATTTCAGTCGTGTTCACCTTTGGAAACTCCAATCCAGTTTTTAGCATCCAAATCACTTCACAATGGCCACTCTAGTCTGTGAATTTTTAAAATTCATCACTCTTGGCGTCCAAAGTATCTTCGAGCACAGTGTTCATTAATATGTGTTGTGTTGGTTGGCCAGCCTTCATTCAGGAAATAGTGAAAATACTGCAAGTGGACAATCTGCATAAACGTGCGTCTCGCCTCTCGGTCAGTCGCGTAATCCGGTTTTTAGCTTCTGCTTTAGCAGGAAACTTCTACATTTAGAGCCATACACACATACCTCTGTTTATACGTATGCCTTTGTTTTCCCAATCCACTTTACAGGAACGTCTTCTAATATCACTGTGAGAAACGTTGGCTAACTCTGTCACCTTGTCCGACTCTTCTTCTGATATGTATGTTGGTACCTTAATGGACTCTCAGTGTAGTTCCACTCTATTAAATGGTTTGTTCTTTCCAAATCTTTTTATTTAGGCCTTGGTTTGGAGTCGTGGATGACTGCATGAATTTCCACTGGGTAAATGCCTTTTCATCGTTTAGAAAGGCTTGGATACGTTAACATGTAGGTTTTCTTAACACGTAGGATTTTTCAGCCATGATTATGAATAGTTGTTTTTTGGGTTAGCCCACGGAATGACCTGATCAAATTTGTGCCGTTAAACCCTCCACCACAAAAGCATTTAATACGCCAGTTATTATTGTTTCAGGTCACCGGTAAGTGCAAGAACTATTTTCATAACTAAATTTAGCAATAAGATTTGTGAATTCGTTTCAAACCTTGTAAAGCCGCTTCAATTCAAAATCCATGACGTCAGAATAAAAATCCAGGAAGTCGTGCTTCCCGTGTCACCTGACAGGCTTCTTAAATAAGTGTCATGGCCTCAGAGGAACAATCAATCGGATTCAAGCTAGATATTAGGAAAATCTTGGCTCATCAGACTAATTGAGCAGCCCTGATTCTGTGAGCTGAAGTCTGGCTAGCTGCTAAATTTATGAAAACTTAAGTAACAAAAGCCCTATGTATATGTGTATATAAATTGAATGTACCAGTGTGTGAATGTGTGTGTATTTTCCATAATACAGGTTTTTTTGGGTTAGATCGTGTAAATATATAAATGTGTGATGTTAAACCCGCCACCACCCGACACAGTCAATTAGTAAGGTTTGTCACATGAACAGAACATGCCACTTCGTTACTAATACAGCACACCGGTGTGTTGGAGAGCAAAGACACAACATTTAATGACACATTTATATATTTACGTGATCTAACCCAAACATTGGTATTATGGATGATATTGGTAACGAAAGCCTTACGTGTTAAACTGTGTATTTTACTATATAAACCAACAGCTATTTAATGTACTGTATTCTGTAGTGTTTTAACTGCATTACCATATTGTCTATTGGTCAGAATAATTTAACTTGTAGTTATGGTTAATGCGACAGTAAAACCCCATGTAGCCACACCAGTCTGCATTGTGCAGCTACATACAATCAATGTGGTTTTACTCTAGTGTTCACCATGGCCAATTAATTAATTATACATTTATTATCATTCATCTGGACCATTCATCAACATATGGATTATTATTCGAGCCACTCATGAATATACAAGCCTGTAGTGGGATAGCATTATTATATGAACTAAAGCTGAAAGAACATTTGATCATCTTACAATAATTAGTTGTTGAAAATATGACTACTATTTAAATTGTTTCCAAGCTACGTTAAATTGATAACTATCAGCTCAATTAAAATATTTTTTTCTAGTTTTCTATGTTGCTACAGCAGACACCCCAGTCTGAGTATTCAATGCATGTCTTGCATGTGAACGCAAATATTTGTTTCTTTTTGACGAATATGATACTTGTCACAAGTGCACATAATGCGATAGGCAAAATGGTAATTGATATTCATTCATTAAATTTGCTGATGACATGGTCATTATCATCAATGACCAATGGTAAGGAACTGTAGCAAATGAATTAAACACTTGATATGGCTGCAAAGTTTGGCACAAGATAAATGAGCAAAATGTAACTAATGTACAACAAGTTCGCTAAACGCTTGGAGATGTGTCGAAGGGACACATTTGGAAGACACAGCAGGATACATTTACTTCGGACAGCTATTGCAGATGAACTGAAATCAAAGTTACATAATAGAGGCGGTTGAGAACAGGTTGGAGTGCTTTTTGAGAACTGGAGTTCGTGATGAAAACAACACAAGTTATCCTAGGTGTATATTTTAATAAACAAAGCTGGATGAAAATGTTTGATCGCAAAGCGATAACCTTCCACCAGCAGTGAATTGATCATAGTTGATGATATTGTTGGTAAGTATATTGTTCATGTGTATGATTGTAAGTTGTATTTGTGTCTTAATGCACTTTGCTATAAATTCATTCGCATTAAATCGGCCAAATCAGAGAAACTCAGAGGACCCCAAGAGTAAGGGAAAACATCTCTAAGACGCCCTCGTTATTTAAACGCCGTGGATTTCTAATCATTTTATTTATTAACGTTATTTTGTTTCTAATACTATTCCGAAATATACAGAGAAATGATATTACATCACAAACTGGTTTATAATATCTATACATCATCCACACCTATTAACATGGTTGGCTACATACGGCGTGAAATAAATTAAATATACGTACATCCAGTCACGTTTATTCACAAGCCTTAGCCAGCTATACAATACTCAATTTTTCTATGTGTTATTTATAAGTGCCTTCACTATGACCCTTGTTGAGACCAAACATATAAAACCATGTCAGCATATAATTAACAATTGTATACACATTATTTATGTCCACAAACTGAATCTCTACTTGTGTACATTCAGACTTCTCGTATTTTTCAAAAAATGTCCATTCTCTGCTCATCGTTGTTCGGGTGCTCTTCACGGTTTTCTAGAATGTTTCTCTCAACCCTGTCACAATATATTGCCCTTATTGCTTGTGTTTAGCTTTTCCACATTTGGTTACAATCCACGTGAGCACACATGATCTGCAGAATGCATGGGTGTGAGATTTATGAAAAATGTTGTTTGTTTGAAGTTAATTTTGGTCTTAAAATGTCCGTGATTATGAATGTAAAATCTGCAGTCTTGGGTTTTTGCCATCTCAGGTCTAAGTTTGCTGTATATGACTCGATAAAAGTGAATCACAGCACGTTCAGCAATAAGGCACGGTATAAATGCAGGCAATATATGATAGATGTTAAAAAACATAACGTTGTGAGTTCAATGCTTTTTTTTTACAAACACATCAACTTGGAGAGAGATTTTGACAACAGGCACGTGTTATATACACAAACATTAAATATCCCTCACACGGCTTTAGGCTTAGGAGAGGCGACATACCTGTGACCGGTATGAGCGCTGTGCGTAGGGCAGCACAGGAGCAGTTCACGATCATGCTTAGCCAACTGCAGGGCACTCACCGTTCTACTGGCTTATGGAAAAGTTGGATGTGTGCTCAAACCTCCCTATGTGCTGGGTGGGGGGTGACAGTTGTCTCTGTGTACTCTGTGTTGTTTTTACACTCCATTACCCAGTCGCACTGCTCCAAGCAGCCTTCTGAAAGGTTAATGCACACATGCCTGGTTGCTATTGAGCGCGCTAAGAGGGGGGAAATTCAATTAGTTGGTGTCTGGATTAATCATGTGACATGTCATATGAGAGCTGTGGGAAAGGGAACAAAAAAAGATTGCAAAAGGATTGTAGTCTATACTTATACACAGTGAATGAAATGTTAAAGAATGGATCTGAACCTTATTTTCTTTAAATATATTTGTATTTGCACATTTATTGAATGTGTGTGTACATGTTAAATATATATGTGCAGCCCTGTACTTAGTTTGCTAATGCCACTGTTGGTGGAAAATGCTTCTACAAATTAGAGCTCTGGAGGGTATTTGGTCTACTCTTTCACACTTGCCAGTTGTCTGAAAAGCTGAGTGACAAATAATTTAAGAAAAATCGGCCCATGGTTTCAACTGCCACGACAGGATATGGAAATGAAGCGGGGACCTCTGGATAGCAAGTTCAGTGTGGTCACTTTTACACCACGGCAACTCCTTGTAAAGTGTATGTATACATCAATATTATTTGATGATGTAGTGATGTAGCTTCTCTTGAGTGTAATTTTCACGCTGCACTGTTGTTCTTGTTTCTCAATGTTTTGCAGCTGTTGGAGCCGTGGTGCCACCTGCGCCCCCGCCACCCACAGCCGTTCCGTCCGTTCGACCGGTGTTTGACGAAGCGAGTGCATTACTGGCCAAAAAGCAGCAGCACGACTTCACGCGGTCTGATAGTGAGAACTGGCGAGCCATGCGCGAAGAGGCCAATGGGGAGCGGTGGAGGCAGAGCAGTCCGGGTAAGGTATAAATACAAGTCCTTACACGTAAAATTGACAAAGACCCCCCAAAGAGCCTTAACATAATTTTGGGGCAAGTGCTGTTAGTGAGCACCTATGAAGGTCAGAATGGTACATGAGCGGTTGCGTGGCAATGTTTACACACCGCACCAGGTACTCATTTGAATACCTGGCAATGTTTACACACTGCACCAGGTACTAATTTTGAGGCTGAGTCAACCCTAGGGCAAGCTCAGGACCTGTTCAGATAATTGTCACTGATGTTGGCCGGGAGCGGGAATCGAACCCGGGTCGTCGAATTCGTAGCGCAGTGCGTTAACCGCTGCATTACCACTCTCACCACACACATACAGATACATAGACATACAAACACATGCACACATACAGCTGTCGTTTGTTGCAATAAGCATCAAGGTGGTACTCATCTCCTCTCTACAGCACTGAGCCAGTGGTGAGGATTCCTCATTCCATAGAACAACCACTGTTGACTTCCCCACAAAGTGGTGATAGACTAAGTCAACCTACATCCTGGATTTGAACTTGCAACCTGCTGATTGCGAACCACTCGCTCTAGCGCCAAGCCACCTGGCCGGGTACACTATGGAAGAGATATTTTGAAACATACTATAGTAGAAAAAAAAATTCTGACTAAATTCCTGGCTGGCTTGTGCGCAAGTGCTCGCGTGTAGTAGTGGTGCCACCACACACATCTGCGTCACCGACATCCCACAGTTTTGAGCCAGGTTCACTGCATCACACTGACGTCACGCCTCCCTCCCACCCACCCTCCACCCAGACTGAGGATCCCGTGCAAATGGGATAGAGACGGGAGGTGAGGGAGGGAGTTAGAGGAGGGAGTCAGAGTAGGATAAGAACAGAGAGGAGAGTGAATGGATGTTAAAAAGAGAGGAAAGAGAATGCACAAAGTGGGAAGTGCGAATAAGGAGAGTGAGGAAAGAGAGAAATGGGGGAGGGGGAGAAGGAAGTGGGTGAGATGTAGTTTAGGGAAGAGAGGAGGGGACAGGAATTGATAATAGAAACAGATACCAAGGAGGATGGTTAGATAAAATGCGATATAGATTACAGAGAAGGCAAGAGAAGGGTGGAGAGATGCACGACTTTTATAAGATCAAAGTTTTTCAACGGTTTTACTTAACTTGATTCCTCTGTTTGTCGTGGTCAAATCTTGTAATAAAGTTTCGTCCACTTCCCGTTGTCCAATCAATTCCACATTTAGCACATGTACTCAGATCCGGTACGCCTGTATCAAAACCGGCATCAATTAATCAATTAATTCGCTACTTTAAGGCAATTCACATTTTGTATGGACGCCTTATTATTTATATATATATTGGTGTAGATCAAAAACGCCGCGGTCCCTAAACTGTGGAATCGGCTCGCACAAAAAGCAGGCGCCGCGTGTCTCAGGCGCCATTGACGTACTTCTCGACCGTGAATTAAACGAAGTTGTTGATAAAACCGTTGTTTAAAAAAAAATGTTTAAGGAGTTTATTTTTCTGGCTGACTTGGATAGACGGACTGTCACGCCCAAAGGATGTGCAGATTGCTAGTCTAATATTTATAAAAGAGAAGACCCTCCCCAAGCAATCAACGTCTTATCAGTAAACAATAGATTGATAAAAAAAAAACTGAAACGGACCAAAGTACTGGCTTGTTCATGACATGCACTTCAGTACCAAATTGAGAGATGGATCTGAGCCAGCATGTACATGGCCCCTTGTTACTCCACTGCTGGATGAGGCCCTCCCCACGCCATGCCCATCATGGGAATTAATTGATCTTACATATTGTTCCATAATTATTTTTAGCCAAACATTTGGCTCCTGCACTGAAAGACGTTTTAAAATTACCTTTTTTTGACTGTAAAAATATAATCTTTTAAAATTCGTATTGTACTGTTTTTTAACATGTGTAATAACCGACGTTGACGACACACAGCTTGGTCTCTGTCTTTATTCTTGTTATGCCGCTCACACTCCGGCGGTCCCGACTGTGGACCGGCTGTTCCACTGGCGCGCCCCGCGCGCTCATTCCGTCAGTTGCACTCCCACACACCGTTGGCTGACGGTGTGCTTGGAGTCGTCTCCAGCCACGTGGCCGATGGCGCTGGAGACCTCCCACGGCTCGACATGGTCCCACTTTGAGTCTATGCCAACTGCCACGAGCCTCTTCTGGATCCCCCATATATTCCCCTCTCTCGTCATCCCGTCTCCACCTTCCATCACGCCCTTTCCGAACCTTCCAGATCACGCCCTTCACTTAGCGCCCCTCCCCGGCTCCGCCCCTAGGTTCCGCCCCTGATCATCCGGGCATCCGATCGGACCGGAGGTGGGCGGCGGACCTCCCCATGCGCCCACCTTACTGGGCCCCGCCCCCAATACTCCGGACCGTCCGATTGGCCCAGAGCTGAGCGGCGAAACTTCGCTTACGCTCACATTACATATTTATTATGAACTTCTTTCACACCGTACGTAGCCAACCTTGCTAATTGGAAGTGCGGGGAAGGACAACAAAGTAAACGCAAAAAGCACTTAACAAAGTTAATTTGAAAAAAAAAACAGATCCATTGTCATTACATGGAAGGTGTGCGATTTGGGTAGAGTTTTTTTTGCGTCGCTTATAATCACATGACGAAATTCAACATCCGTACATGCAAAACCGATACAAGCCCATTTACCGGATTTCCACACACAAAGAAGTGTCTAGAGCACGAAATGCAATGCCTTCATATTTTAAACTGAGAAACAAAGGGAGCTGCCCCAGTGGTGTTATGGACAGCACACCGGAGATCGCTGGGTTCAGTTCCATCTCCTGGCCTGGCAGTTGAAACAATAGAGCAAGTTTCTCGAATCCCCCCCCCACCGCCTCTGTCCACCAAGCAGTATACATGGGTGCACCACAGGTAGTCGATCGGCATGTCGAGTGTGGTGGAGTACAGTGTGGGAATGTCTACCTCTCCACATTTAGAAACATGCATTTAGAGTATTTGGCTGCTATCAATTTCCACATGATAAGCCCCTTCGTTGCGCTATCATTTATGGCCAGGTTGCTTCTGATAAAATAGTTATATAGCTCAGTGGGCCTTACCTGGTAAAATACAAATAGTTTCTTACAACAGTGCAACGGAACAATTGCAGGGCTGCAAGTTTTTTATCCTTAATGTCGCCACCCACTGGATGATGTTGGTATCAACATCAGCATTGTCCTGCATGGCCCATCCAGACCACAGAGGGAGATTTTGGCCACATAGCCCATCCCTTAGTGCTACGCAGCATGCCTTACTTCATCTCTGCACCCGACCCGTTTGCCGTGAGAGATTTATCTACAGACTAAAGTTAGTTAAATTTTAGTTTAAAATCGTGCAATGTTGCATTCAAGCCATTTGAGCCTCCAATGAGTTTTTATCATCAGGCCTGCTGCCAGTGCAGTTTGTACATTCGCACGTGCTGATTGGTGTTGTACTAAACTTTCACTGGAATCAGTTGCCGCTTTTAGCAACAATGGTTGAACAACCCTGGTGCTTGGAAGAAGTGTGCTTATGATGCACCGCACGTCGGGGTTTTTGCGTATGTAGACGGGCCGCGCTCTGCTGGGTGGCGCGAGCCGGGTGAGCGTCCCAGGAGGAGGTTCGACTTTGAGTTCCGGGAGAGGGACGAGGAGCGAGGAGGTGGAGGTGGAGGAGGAGGAGGAGCGTACCGGCGCACGCGGTCTGGCTCGGGCAGTTTTGACGATGACAACCTGCCCGAGTGGTGTCTGGATGACGAGGGGGAGATGGGCACCTTCGACTCATCCGGAGCATTCATGTCCTTCAAGGTAACATTCTGTCACCGATCCCTCTGTCTATTTGGAGTGCAGCATGGGCCTGTGGGAAATCTGTACTAAGATTTATGAATGTTAATCAAGAAATTACTATAAATGTGCAAATAATGACTTAGAATTATTTTGTATGGCAGAGTGATTCGCAAAGTTCTATGTTGATATCGAGATTGGTAAACCATTTGAGGGCTAAGGACGTGATGTCGTCTCTTGAGATGCTGCCAGTGAATGAGCGAAGCATGTAGTTGTCGTGTGTAGATGCAGGTCGGGCGTGTGGTGCTTGTAACGGGCCATTGCTTTTGCAGAAGGGCCCGAAGGAGCCCATCCCTGAAGAGCAAGAACTGGAATTCAAGGGCGCCGACGAAGAGGATGAGGAAGCAGATGATGAGGGGGAGTTCAGACGGGAAGATGCCGAGGAACGACAGTGCAGCAGGGACAACAAAGACGGGGAAAAACTCTTATCTCAAGACGACTGGGACGGTAATTGTTGTTCAGAGCGCTACTCGTGATGTGTAGATCTGCATTGGTTCTGTAAACAATGATGAGAGATGAGCTCTGTCCACCCCGGTATCGGAAGACCTGCAAGTTTCTGGGACTTTTTGGTCTGTCGATGCTCATGATGCAAGGTTAAGGTCAGATGGATTTTTAATCCTTTCACAGCCAGATCTCGTCTATTCTCAGTACCTGGCAATGATGCCCTCCTGTGGCCGACATCGATATATGTGAGGATGTAGATGTGTTCTTTTGCAGGTCACACACGATGATAGTGTAGTGGTAGTGTAGGGGGTTAGTGCACTGCACGACGAACCGGGCGGCCTGAGTTCGATTCCTGCTCACCGCCAACACGAGTGACGATTAGCTGAACCAGTCCTGGGCCTCTCCTAGATCGACTCAGCCTCAATTGAGTACCTAGTGTGATGTCTAAAAAATTGCCACTCTAGAGACAAAGACGCCCGAGCTTGATGCTGGCCACCCACCGCTTGTGTGCGGTTCTGACCTTCATAGGTACTCGCTAACAGCACTGGCCCCAACAGTCTGTTAAGGTTATACTGGGGAATCTTTGTCTTGTTCTTTTGCAAGTCACACATACGAATATATGCCCACTGCCATCTATTGGCAACATTTGGAAAACAAACATTGCAGTTTAAAAACAAGGGTCATGCCCTGGTTATTCCACAAATTTCTACTAAAAAGAAATCTAGGCTCGCCACCATTTTGAACAACAAAACGGTGGCTGGCTGGCTGCAGGCTGACACATGGGACACGAAAAATGGGTGTATATCAAAGGGTTAAAACATTCCTTTATATCCATGGAAGAATATGGGGCATAATATGACAAGCTTCATTTTGTATTGATTTAGTTGGGTTTATCCTGCAGCAGATATGTGTGCAATCAGAACACGCGCAGTCCCACTTGTTTATGCAATGTACAGGGTGTTTCAAAAAGATGGACCCAATTTCAAAGCAGTATATTTCACGATGGCAACATGTTACAATTACACAAAAAGTTACAAACTGTTTAATGAGTTATCAAGTTTTTCTAATAAATTTCTAAATTCTCTGTGCCCTCCACCTGCTATACGGACTACATCGAGACGATAGTTGAATTCGTCCCAAACGCCTCTCGAAGTGTCTTCTTCCACTGAAGTCACCGCTGCCGTGATTCTGTTTTTGAGGTCATCCAGATTAGTCGCTAATGATGGCACAAAAACACGATCTTTGACGTATCCCCACAAGAAAAAGTCGCAGGGTGTGATGTCTGGGGATCTTGGGGGCCAAGAGTGTAGCGCCAAGTCTTGGGGTCCTGTGCGACCTATCCAACGTTGAGGCAGTGTGTCTTGCGAATGACTGAGGATAGGGGCTGTTTGTGCACTGGGAGAGGCATTTGAAACTCTATGCCCTGCCCTTTCAAATGGTAATAGTTTCATTCATGGGCGGTTTGTGGTTGCAGAGATATAGCGATTTCAAATCGGGTCCATCTTTTTGAAGCACCCTGTATATTGAACTTCTTTCGCACCATATGTAGCCAACAGTGCTAATTGGAGGCGTGGGTGAAGGACAACAAACTAAACACAAAAAGCAGTTCTAAAGAAATGAGTTTTCAATCTAGATTTAAAAGTGCATAGCTCCAGTTGCTTCCTAATATGCTGTTACTGAATAAATTTCTGCAACACCTGGGTTTTCTCGCTTGAGAGACAAGCATATTAACGACATACTTAGATGTGTAACGCAGCAAACAGCGAGCTCTCAGTTGAGTGTCGGATGGCATGTCTCCAGACACCTAGGATATGTGTCTTATAGCTTCCGCATTCTCATGATGTTATTGTTACATTCTCTCTTGTGCAGAAGCATCCCTCGAAAGTGGAAAACAGGAAGACCGACTGTCACCAACGCAATGTTTTTCAAAAGAGCTGCCTGCTGTGACTGGGAACCAGCCCTCATTGCGGGAAGAGGGTTCCATTTCACATAAGGATCCTGAAAAAATGGATGTGCCTGACAATCAGACACTGCAGCATGGCTCACCACAAGGTGTGTATATCACCATGCAGTACTGGGTACATGGTGTCATACTGGTAGGAACCTCCTGGTTACACCAGCCCACAGCCGATTATTGTGTCCGTCCGTCGTGCATCCAAAAATGGGAGGGGTCGGGCTGGGTGGAGAGGGGAGGGTGGGGAGGGGCTGGGTGAGGAGGGAGGGGCTGGGTGGGGAGGGGAGGGTGGGGAAGAGCTGGGTGGGGAGGGGCTGGGTGGGGAGGGGCTGGTCACCCCGTGGTGCCCTTATAAAACTTAACGTTTAACCTACTCACGCCGGCTTGTGCCCGCCCTCACAGTTGCGGAATACACCACGCCGCCGTTGACCCTGGCCATTGACCGAGCAACCCAACGTTCCTACCATCTCCCTCCGCAGGAAGGTGTTTATAACGATTGTCTTATGCCTCGGGGAGCTGTTGTGGTGCAATTGTGAGCATATTAAATTTGCAGTCCAAAGTTCGCCAGTTTGAATTCACGTCTTGATGCTGCAGTTGAGACATTGGGAAATGCTTCCTCTATAATCAGGGGTTCCCAAACCTTCCCAACTTGGGACCCACCTGAGTAGGCACGTAATTTTTTAGGACCCATACCCATTCAGGTGGCTGGTGGCTTCTATGTCAGAAGAGGAGGCACAAATACTAACCCTTGCTGGGAAATAGGGTAATTTTACGCATTTTGGAATTATCGTGGCAGCAAAGGTGTGTTTCAGAGGATCCTACCTTTGTATGAAGATGTTAGTGCTGCTCACAGGGTGATAATGCATTTGGCTAAACAGACACAGAGATACAAAGACAAATACACTTGCACAAATACATGGAGACAGATTGGAGACCGATATGGAGATACACAAACATGGAGACAAATACATAGGGAGACACAGACACCAATACTCTCGCAGACAGACACAGAGAAATAGACAGATACGGAGAAACACACAGATACAAAGACGGCAACAACAATAACCGCCATTCTCCACGAAGTGGGAGTGACGTCACCACGGTGCTTGTGCCAGGCTATGTGCACTTTAAGTCCATGTGAAGTGTCAAACGCCTGCTGGCAGGAGATCACGGGATAGACCCAGGTGCCATGGGTTGACTGACTGAGATGACTGGTTGACGCACCACCTGTGCCCCCTACTTTGCCAACTTGCTGTGTTTTAGCCGCCAGGCACTCCGCTCGTTGTTGTGAGCATCGCTCCTCTGCGCTCCTTATTTTCTAAGGGTGTCAGCCTCCAACGACCCAGTAGAGTTCTTCACGAGCCTCCTCCACAGGGGTCGATCTTGACATCGCTGGTACCAGTCATTGGCAAGTCATCTCAGCTCCATATCCACTCGTATCTCATAATTCCATCTCTTTAGCCCAAGCCGCAACCGTTTAGCACCCTCTACCCTGCCGAACAAAAGCTGTTTGGGCATGCGGGTTACATGCCCCAGCCAACACAGCCTTGCCTGCCGGAGGAGCTCACCGATAGGACTGTTCAGATTTTTAAAGGATTTGTGAGTTCACACAATCTAGCCTGGTTAAACCCAGGATGGATCCTAGGCAGGCCAGCCTGAATGTTTATAACTGGCGAAAATGTTCCATTAAGGGGGGGGGGTCAATAAATGGAAGCTTTATAGCCCGAATTGTGCATTAGCATGAATTTGAGAAGCTGTATGCAGTCACTGGTCAAGTTATAAACAACAGGAACATTGATACACCTAATGATTGTGTTCTAAACTTGATTCAGTTTTATCTGCAATTTAATCTGTGAGATGGCCAGGAGACGGCAGTGCAGAGGGAGATTGAAGCCATATGCACGTATGTGTGTAGTTTTCCCTAGGTTCTCAGCTTTGCTCACCATGAGTAGTATTAGGATTCGCTGAGGCTTCTCTAGATAAAAAGGGCATTATTTGAAAACATCTTTTCAAATAAATGTGTGTTTTATGAAAATGGCATTTCTTAAACTGGTGATGTAAATGTGCCCATTGTGTGCCTTAAATGTGTTCATGAAGAAGAAACATTTTTAGTTTGTTAATTCCACCTCGTTACTGCATTCATGTTTAGATAAAGAAAAATCTATACTTTTGTAGTGACATGGCTGGATGTGACCATGCATTTGGTGCAGTACCGGCCCCAGAGGGGCACGGCGTGCGGTGTAGCGACATCGTCGTTGGTCGTTGGTCCCGGTCCGTAGTAGCAGTTACGTAGTAACCAGTGTAGTTAGCCGGGTGCTTCACCACCTTAGGTTGTTATTTTGTTCAGGGGAAGTTACCCCGTGTGTTGGAACTGAATAAATGTGTTGTTTCCAAAGTCTACGTCTGCGACTCAATTGAACCCATTACACTTTTATAACGGTATATTTTTAAGTTATCTGTGTGGGGATAGAGTCCACATTCGTAAATAATCCAGCCTCCTATCCACTACAAATAGTACGTGGCTGAAGCCAATTCCCACCCAAACATGGACCAAGTAAGTTCATTACAATTCTCCGATCACGCCGTTAACGTTGTCACATTGCTACGGTGTACGAGACACCCAGACTCAATCTGATCAAAGAAACTAAATAAATTGATTTCAGCCACCTAAGTGGGACAGTTTGTCGGAGGCCGGACTTATTAACTAATGTGGACTCTCTCCCCACAGCTAACGTGAATATACTCTTAGAATTAGGTTTGATTTCATTCTGCAGGAAGGGCCCAATGAGCTGCTGTGCTCTTTTATGGGAGTCCCGTGACATTATGGATGGAATATGCTATATATGGTGACAGATCTTGGTTCGAATCAGTATACCTGTGAAAGCCCAAGACAGAAATGTACTCATCGCTACATATGTTTTTGGGAAGGAACAATGTTGCATTGTTGAGCATGGAGCTCGGAGTTCAAAATTTTTATTTTTTTCAGGACACTTTCTGATGTTTTTTAAATTGTTTACATCTTGCAGTGTGTTTTTACGTCTGTGCGCTTGCAAAAGCGATATCACCCGATGCCAATTGGTGCCATTTTTGGCGGGAAAACTAAGTAAGTGACCAGACATCCGGTTTCTGAGTCAATCCAAAAAAAATACATTTTGTGTTATATCCAGGCCTGATTTTCTGTTTTTTTTAAATATGAATGAGAATGCCTATATTTGAGTGCATATTGCTCACAATGTATCTCCTTGTTCCATAATCTTCCAAAACTAAACGTTCATACTATGCATCAATGTAAAATGTGTACTGAAGGTAAGAGTTACATTTTCACCAATGCAACTTATTTTTTTCCCTTTCAGACCTCTCAAGCTCAAAGGCTGTCAGCTCTGATGTCCTGAACTCTGTGGGCATTTCGGGGCCTGGCTCTGGCAAGCGAGATGGAGTCGTTGGCCATGATCATGATGATGATGAGGGCCTCAAGCACTTAGAGCAGGTGAGCCCACACAAGCCGGGCGTATAATCTACAGGTGCTCAAGTCATGCGGCAGGCCTTAACTGAAAAATGAAGACGTCTGAGATTATATCAATCATAGTTTCTTTAAAAGGACTGGACTCCAAAATCCATATTGAAACACATTGGTAGCATCTGCGCTATCATAACAATACAAACGCAACTTAATTTCTCATTCTGTCTGTGTGTTTGTGTCAGTCACAGTATCATACATGGTCAATTGAGGCCTCATTTAATTTGTTGGTCACACAGAGGTCCCTGTAGTTCTCAAGGTCAGGGACTGAAGGATCAAGTGACTGGTTTGGTTTTCCACCCGTTTGAAGGTGCAACATCAAAAAACAACGCTTAGGCTACAATATTTATTAACCCAAAATATGCAGGCTAAGGAACCTTAAGTAATAACGCAATCAAACACATTACCTTCGAAGAACAGACAGCATAAACTTAACGTAAGGTAGGTTTATACTGGTAGGAACGAAGTGGACCAGACCACCAATAGATTAATGTATCCGTCCGTCCGTCTGTCCGTCCGTGTATCAACATCGCCCCCTACTGCAAACACTTGGCATGACCCTACAAAAACCTTTAAACTCAGTGGCGCTATCCTGGCTAAACAAGTGTAACATTCCCATATAATTCCCTCAGATAGCTTTTAATTAAAACATTTCAATTAATGAGGCTTTCCTGGCTAAACACGTGTAACATTCCCTTATAATTCCCTGAGATAGCTTTAGATTAAAACATTTGAAATTAAATAAAAAAACTCACAGCGCCCTAAAGCCTACAGCTAGGCCTAAAGCCTGGAACTAGGCCTGAAACTCTCCCTTCGTATCGTGCCCCCGCGTGTGTTAAAGGGAGTTAATGTTTAAAATGTTACATTCCCTCATGTTTTTAAATAGCAACATTTACATTTAAAGCTTTTACATAAATAATTAAAACATTTATATTAACAATTAACTCACGGCGGCCTAAGGCCTACAGCTAGGCCTAAAGCCTCGACCTAGGCCTCAAGCTCTCCCTTCGTATAGTTCCCCCGTGTGTGTGAAAGGGAGTTAATGTTTAAAATGTTACATTCCCTGATGTTTTTTAAATAGCAACATTTACATTTAAAGCTTTTACATAAATAATTAAAACATTTATATTAACAATTAACTCACGGCGGCCTAAGGCCTACAGCTAGGCCTAAAGCCTAGACCTAGGCCTCAAGCTCTCCCTTCGTATAGTTCCCCCGCGTGTGTGAAAGGGAGTAAATGTTTAACAATTTTACATTCCCTGATGTTTATTAATAGAAACATTTACATTTAAAGCTTTTACATAAAAAACAACTCCCTACCCCCCCCCTCGTCGGCGGCTCTCCAGCCGAGCCAGGCCTGGGAATCTCTCCCCCGCTCGGGGTGTATTGGGCGGGGCTACAGCGGCAGGGGGCGGGGCTACGCGGGGCTGGGCGGGGACACCGAGATGGAGCGGGGCCACGGGTGGCCGGGGCGGGGTTACGCGGGTGGAGGGCGGGGCCACGGGGGCGGAGCGGGGCCACGGGGGACCGGGGCGGGGTCAAGCGTTGGCGAAAAGGGGCAGAGTCTACAGTCGAGAATACAGTACCGGGAGCGAGAAGGCGGGGCTAATAGTAATAGGGGCGTGGCCGACGGCGCTGCATATTGTGCAGATTGTTACTACTCACTGTGTCTGCTCCATGCTGCACCCACGTAGGTACATACTTGTGCAATACTATTATTTTTTGCACAACGGTTACTACTACTTTATTGTTTCTTATGTTCCACTACGTTACCATCCACTTATTGGCGCCCATTTTTTGCCATTTCATTTTATTATAGCCATTAAATTGTTCGGTCCTACCAGCCCACCCCACAGGGACCTGTTACTGTTTACACATGGTAGAGTCGCTGCACGTGTTTTTATATCAATATCTATGTGCAGTGTCGACCACGTGACGCAACGGCTATTAACAGAGCACAATAGCATACACTAAATTACCCAACTCGCACACCACCATCAACACAATACAGAACGTACCATCAATCACCGACCCACTTCATCCCAATAGCACTGTCGTCTGCAGGATCAAAGTGTCGCAGGTGTCTGTTTAATGAGGTCCCTGATTGTCATTGAGATGGACCCCAAGGAGGACTCAGAGGGCAGAGATCTGCCTTGTTCCGCCCCACTCCAGATTATTGCCTTGGTCCCGACTCGTGCTGGTCTTGGCCCTGGGACTGAAGTCCTCGTCACTGGTCACTGGAATGCTGTTAGGCCACCTGCTCACTGACTTGGCCCTGCCACTTGCAGTGGAGTGGCTTAACTTGGCGCTGGCACTTGCGGTGAAGTGGCTTGACTTGGCCCTGGCACTTGCAGTGACTTGGCCCTGTCAGTAAGTTCTTCTTGGAGTGATTGAATCCTTCAATGTGAGTCCACTCCTTCAGCACTGTAGCAGCAAGTCCCCTCTTTTCTGAGTTGCACACCTCAGCTGGTGAGAGGTTTCTGTCATGGGTGGAGGCCTCATTTTCGGTGAGACCCCCTGGCTGTTTAACTCCAGCGTGGTGTTCTTTTTCCTTCTCACATCCCTCTCTCTCTCATGTGCCTCAGGAAGCTGAGAAGATGGTGGCATCGCTGCAGGACACCTCCCTGGAGGAGGATCGTCTGGACACAAAGAACAGGGCGTCTGCTCTTCCACTTACCCACGAGGCCGCTATGAAGTGGTTTTATAAGGATCCACAGGGAGACATACAAGGTATCAGTTGTTTGTCGTGTATGCAAACGGTCATGTCTGATTTATTATCTGTAGTCAAGACATTTGGTGATGTCTGTCTTGTATGAATGTTTTTCAAGCTTGTAATTTGTACTTTTCTAAGATAGGGTGTGGGAATGTACGATTCAAATGGCACTGTTTTCAATGCGCTTGTTGCTGCCATTCTAACCACAAGTGATTCACAATTGTTGAGCAACAAATTGTATGTAACATAACTCTTCGTCTTTTCCTTCTATCGCACTGTTTTTTCATCGTTTTATTCTATACTCTTTGGTTCTTTCGGTAAAGTCACGTGGGTAGAAAAAATAATAGATCACGACGTTTTGATTGCCACACAAACAATCGAACTCAGGTGGGATAGAGAAACAGGCTGCTGAAACAAGTCCTTATATATCGAGCCGAGAGGGGGGGAGAGGGGAGTTACCGCATTGGGCAAGAGCGTGGGGGCTAGAGATTGTGCCTAAGCGAGTGGGAAATCCAAAGATGGGAATCGATATGGGGGGGAGATACGTAGATGACACGTTCGTCATCTGGTCACATGGCCTGTCAGCACTGAACCAATTTTTCAACCACATCAATTCCCCATACACCCATCTATCAAATTTAGCATGGAAGTGCAAAATGATGGCAAGCTACCATTCCTGGATGTTTTGATTGAGAAGAGACCTGATGGCTCGTTGGGACACTTGTCTACAGGAAAGCCACCCGCACAGATTCCTATCTAAAGCCTGATTCCCACCACCATCCAGCCCAGAAGAATTTCCTCATCAAACACTACACCATAGGGCCCACTGCATTTCCGACCAGCACCACCTATCCAGTGAACTGGAGCACGTACGCCAAGCCCTCAAGATGAATGGATATTCTGACCGCACAATCCACAAAGCTGTATCCCCAACCATGGGTAGAGAACCATCTGAGGACCCAATCAAAACCATCACCTTGTCATACATAGCAGGGGTTACCAAAAAGATTTCCAAAATCTTGAACAAACACAAGATTCAGGTTTGATTCAACACAGTACACAAAATCCGTGACCCGATCCCATCTGTGAAAGATGTGATTCCTGATATTCAATACTCTGGTGTCTACAAACTAAGTTGTGTCTGCGGTAGCAGTTACATTGGGGAAACGAAACGACATGTCTCGGACCGTGTTCGCGAACACAAGGCAGATTTGAAACACGGCAGAACCAATACCGCTGCCATAGCTGATCACTGCTTGAATGCTGTGGGCTCACGCGACATTGTTTTTTCCGAGACCAAGGTACTTTGCAAACCTTCGGGCTACCATCAAAGATTTGTTCATGAAGCCATATAAACATAGACATAACGTCAACCGAGAAGATGGGTACAAATTGAGCAATCAGAAGGACGTTATTAACCAGGTAAAGCCTTAACTGGTTGTTCAATGTTTCCATCCAACCTGCCATTGTCAACAGTTATTTCCGACTTTCTGAGTTACATTACCAATTTACATTACCAAGTTAAATGTTTTTACATTAACGGGCTAAATGTCTCACTAACAAAGCCAATGTTGCCCCTTTCCCTCGATGTGGCGATGGCTCTCGTTTTTTAGCAGATGACAACTGGCTGTGATGTTGTGTATGTGTCTTTCTGTGTGTGTGTCTCTTTGTGTGTGTCTCTCGGTTTATGTGTGTCTCTCTCTGTGTTTGTCTCCCTCTGTCTCTCTCTTGTGTCTCTTTGTGTGTATGTCTCTCTCTGTGTCACTTTGTGTGTATGTCTCTCTCTGTGTATAGATGTGTCTTTCTGTGGGTGTGTCTCTCTCTGGGTGTGTGTCCCTGTGTGGGTCTCTGTGTCTCTCTCTGTCTTTATGTGTGTCTCTATATGTGTCTCTCTCTGTGTGTTTCTCTGTCTGTGCCTCTCGTTGTGTCTCTCTCCTTTCCTCGATGTGGTGTCGTTTGTCCAAAAGAGCTGGATGTCTCACTAGCACAGCCACCGTTGCCGTTGATTTGTTTACATTGACATGCTAATCCCTTCATGGGACCTCCTTTGCCAGTACCAAAATATGAGAGTAAGTTTTTCCCCTTTTATCTGGCAAAAAAACAGTTGTTAAACACCAAACTGAAACCTTTTAGAAATAAGATAAAACAAATCATGACGTTTCGATCGCAACACAAGCGACCTTCATCAGGTGGCACCGATACAGCAGGACAACCGTTGACATACCGAAAGAACCAAAGAGTAAGCTGTTACCAGCAAGAGCTTTCTAAGTTTTTGAGAACAAAGGTAGATTAAGTTGTGTTACAGGGGTATTATAGTGTAAAGGTAATAAATAGCGTGGCATGTTAAAGGAAATGAACTTCGATTGGCAACCATTGGAAGGACGTGATTAACCAGCGCAGCAACCAGCTCCGCAACCTGGTCTGACCAGTCTTCCTCTCCCAGCACAGCAGCGAGCGAGCTCCGCACCCTCACGCGTTAGCACGGCCATCTTTTGGATCGCTAACATTGACTTTAACATCATATTCTCATTAACTTCGCTCATTTACTTTTACATGCTTTTCTCATTAACTTTAACATGCTATTCTTGGTTACACAGACTTACATTAACTTGCTATTTTTTTCATTAACTTTTACATGCTTCTCTCATCAAAATACATATGCTAATCCTACATTCTAATCTGAGCTCTTATGTGCTACGGAAGCTGATTAACTTTGCACTATAATCCAACATGCTAATCTAAGCTCATTTATTTTAACATGCCACGTTATTTATTACCTTTACACTATAATACCCCAGTAACACTACTTCGGCTACCTTTTTGTTCTCAAAAACTTAGAAAACTCTTTCTGGTAACAGCTTCTCTTCACAAGGCAGCTGACATCGTGCTGTTCGCAGCAGACATCGCGGTTATTGCGATTTTCACGATTTTCACCTGAAGACGGGCGCTTGTGTTGCATTCGAAACGTCGTGATTTATTTTGTTTTATTTCTACCTACGTGACTTTACCGAAAGAACCAAAGAGACAGAATTCCTGAAGTCACGAAAGCTTCAAATCAAGAAAAAACGTACTCTGATAATATATGCATTGACTTTGAAACTGATTGGTCCACATCAGAGACAGCTTTCTTTTAAGCCTCGTCTCAAACGGTGTTCGACCAGAGGACGCCAAAAGGCGTACAGCACAAAGACAAGCACTATCAGAGTAATGAGAGCTCGGGTGAGCATCTACATCATGGGACCTCCTTTTCCAGTACCAAAATATGGTGATAGGTTTTCTCCTTTTTTCTGGCAAAAAAAACAGGTGTTAAGATGTTAAAACACCAAACTGAAACCTTTTACAAGGAATCATGTCTGCATTGACCACAGTACTTGTGGTCAAAATGCAAAAAAAAACACTCTGATAATATATGCATTGTACGCCTTTTGGCATCCTCTGGTCTAACACCGTTTGAGACGAGGCTCAAAAGAAAGCTGTCTCTGGTGTGGATCAATCAGTTTCAAAGATAATGCATATATTATTATTGTGGTTAATGCAGACATGATTCCTTGTAAAAGGTTTCAGTTTGGTGTTTTAACAACTTAACACCTGTTTTGTTGCCAGATAAAAGGGGAAAAACTTATTCTCACGATAATCTCTCACAATACAATATGGCCACCCCCACGGCTCTCGCGGCTCTCGCATCAACCACCCCCCCCCCTTTCCCATCCTTCATCTCGGTTCCCATCTTTGGATTTACCACTCGCTTAGGCACAATCTCTAGCCCCCACCCTTTTGCCCGGTGCGGCAACTCCCCCCCTCTCGGCTCTATATATAAGGACTTGTTTCAGCAGCCTGTTTCTCTATCCCACCTGAGGACGATTGCTTGTGTGGCGATCGAAACGTCGTGATCTATTATTTTTTCTACCTACGTGACTTTACCGAAAGAACCAAAGAGTATGGATTCCTGCAGTCACGAAAGCTTCAAATACAGTTTTATTCTACTTCTGCCTCGCGCTACAAATACAGTATACCTCGTGTCGTTTCTGTTGCGCAAGTGGCTGATAACGGATTTCTTTTTTTCCGTAATTCACCCGCCTAACCTGACGGGACACGTGGATTTGTTATTCAGCTTTACAGAGCTGTTGAAGAGAGTTTCAAAAGGTTTCCTGAGTTGTGACAGCAAAGTTAATTATTCATGTTGTAATATTTATAATAATGTGGCACCCTTAAACAATGGATTTCCGAGCAACTTGCATAAAAAGAAGAAATAAAAGTGAAGTTATCGAGGAGATGAAGATTAAAGAAACCAGATAGAGACCTAGAGAGGAGGTCAGTTGGTGGGGTCTTCAGTCGGAAATTAAAAGTGTCCATCCACTCTTGAGTTCCTGACCTCCCAAGGGCATGGAATTCGAGAGCCTGGACACCGTACAGACAAAACACCGGTGATCACCACCCAAGGCTCGAAACCTGGAGTGTGGTAACGCTGCTGAGTAGGGCACGGATTGGGGAACCTCAGATATCTCAGTGGAGCATGTAGCTGGATGTTGGAGTTTGTGGCTGAATAAAGTCGGGGATGTACAGTGGCGCAAGCCCATAAAAACCTTTAACACAGCGAGGAGAATCTTAAACTCAATGCAGGCTTGAGCCGGAAACCAATACAGTGACGTGATGAGCACAGGTGAGCTATGATCCTGAAGAGGAGTGCGAGTGAGCACCCTGATGGCTGCGTTTTGGCCGGACTCCAGAGGAACAAGACATCGCAATAGTAAAGACTTGAGAAGAAGAGTGAATAGGCCAGCTTCTTAGTCTTCAAAGCAAAGAATGTGGTGCAGCTGGGTAACATTCCTTAAATGAAAGAATGATGTCCTCACAACTCTGTTGACATTTGAATGGAAAGATACATACTGATTCAAGAAAATATAAAGATTTTTAGTTTTGTGTGTTAGGCAGACGTTTTGATTGTCAATCACCAGATTGAGGGGGCCAACCTTGCACAGCTGGCTGGGACAGCTAATGATGAGGAGCTCGGCTTTCTGCCACATCCAGGATTTTACGAGCAAGAGCGACGATGTATGGCGCACAAGCCGAGGACACTGAGTCCGGATTCCAGTTGAACATATTGTCTTTGTGTGATGTCTGCGTCCCAATGGTCACGTAGGCCTTGGCCTTTGAAGCAAAGTTCCACGTGTGGCCACGATTGTTGGTGTTGGAGCAAAGCAACAAGCAGGGCCATGATTATAACTTCATAAAGTAATTTATGTTCCATTTAGAACCTCTGATTTGATTGTGCTAAAGGATGAGTTAAATGTGAATTTTGAAAAACGTGTTAACTTGCAAAATTTTCTCAGTTAAATTATTGAACCTGGAAAATCCATTGAGATGGAACATTTCGTTTGCAATAGTATCCAGAGTGTGAATTGACACATACGTGGCAATAATGCATGTACAAATATACATTTGCAGTGTTTGAACCATGCGCAAGACAAAAACTGCTAAGTGGCTGCATCTTCCTAGTGGTCCTAGCAGGTTTATGATGTAGAAATCATTGCATGGTTCTTTGGAAAACATTTGTGTAAACCAAAAAAATCACTCTCTCATCTGGATGTATTTTTTTTTAGAAAAGGCGTCCAACAGGATCCTGCAGCTGAGTTGGTGAATGTTCTGTGCCATGTATTTTGGCAGGTCCCTTCACCAACCAGGAGATGGCAGAGTGGTTCCAGGCTGGGTACTTCACCATGACTCTGCTTGTAAAACGCGGCTGTGACGAAGGTTTCCAGCCACTTGGGGAAGTTATAAAGATGTGGGGGCGTGTGCCGTTTGCGCCTGGCCCTGTACCTCCACCGTTCCTGGTTTGTTCTTGCGCTTTCTGCCAAACCTAGAATTTTATGCCGTTATTTTTTATCATTTAATTCTCGTGCTGAAAGATACACTTGTACACATTGCCCATCTTACTGCAACCAGATGATTTCATGCTAAAGACATTTTTATGACTTCAACAGCAACCAAAGTACAACTGTTTTCTAAACACAACAGGTTTCCACTTTATTATTGAAACACAATGATTTTATGCTCATCCACTGGACGAAAATGTGTAAGACATTTTTCATGAGTTTTACTAAAGAACCTCAGTAACATGTTTTGCAATCGTATTCCAAATGTAACTTGGTCATACGTTTTTTATATCGTATTACTTCTGGTGCTTTGGGTTTCACATTCGGCCTGTGTGGCTGTGGTTGTGTCGTTGCGTCTATTTTCTCCATGAGCACACAAACACAGTAGGGGAGTGACACTCGGTAAAAGCCTGCCAAAGAGTAGCCATCGTTCACCGGGCAAGCGATGCACCCTGTGCAACCATAGATTTTTCTCTCAGTCCTCCGGTTTTTCCTTCCACATTTAGAAACATACCTTTAGAGTATTTGTCTGCTGTTCATTTTCACACAACAAGACACTTGGTTGAGCTATAATTTGTGACAGCCAGGTCGCTTCTGAAAAAGAGCTACATAGCTCAATGGGCCTTACCTGGTAAAATATATATAGTTGAGTTTTTTAAGCAAGTATTGAATTTTGGCAGCGGTATGCTTTTTCAGTGGGGTGTTCCAGTTTCTGTAGAGTTCATATTGATTATGGGGCTTAATACTAAACTTGCAGGTAAGATGTGTTTACCCTCACTCCATTGAAGCTCTCTTAGTTAAGCGCATCATTTTATTTAAACGATGGGCTAATTTTATAAATGCTTTCAGTATTGTTAATCATCTGCTCTATGCAATCTGCATCTCCGTTGCCTGCACTTGCCATTAGTTGTGCGTCTTAAATTTTACGTGCACTTCTCACTCTGAATTCTTACAGTGTCTCTGTGCATCCATGTCTTGTTTCCGGTGTCCCTGCAGAACGACCCTGACCACGAACGGTTGAAACGCCAACAAGAGTTGGCGATAATTCAGATGCAGCTGCAGTATCAACAGTTTTTGCAAGCCCAGCTCTACAGCAGGTGCTACACATTGCACGACATAAACAAATCTTGTTGATTTGTGTCCCTCTTTCACACTTTTGAATGAAGCTCCTAGTATGCCAATAAAAGTGTTAGAGGTTACACTTGAAGAATATATGGCCCTTTTTTTTAGCTCACTTTGTGTTCCGATTGTGCTGTTGGTGCCTGCCATGTCATGAGACAGAGATGTATCATCCATGTGGAACACTGGGAGAGCAGCGCACCACCCTGTGTTAGAAAACAGCTCCAGAGTGGGGCATCACAGGATTACATCTGAGAGCACTCGGTACTACTTATCTGCACTTGTCCACGTGCCATGTTATGGAAACTTTTTTGGCACAATTCCACTACATTTTTAACAATTAATTTTCCCACCGGTGAAGTTTTCACAAGTTAAACGAAATCTACATTTACTACGTGTGTTGTTAGTGCAGTTCTTGGTGACCGTATTGAGACCATCAACTTGATACACAACCCGGTGTAGTCATAGTGGGCCGCTCCTCCCATGAGAACCTGTGTGTTCTATGTTCTCATCGGAGCCGGCTCTCAATACATTTGTTTTAAACTACAACATTAATATCATACACAACATCTAATACACAGTAGTCGACTTTTCAAGAAAGACTGCCAGTAATAGTAGTTCAGCTAGATCACTTTGCTGATAATTTTTTAAGTATTTAGCACTTTTATTGTCACTGTAAGCTTATACTTGTTGAGGCTTCTTATTTTCAATGATTTTTATTTGAAAGTAAGCATGCGAGTTGTTAAATACTGCCTCTGCTAACTTTAGGGGATGCACTCAACATTCAAAACTTCTCGAGTCATTTTCCAAAAAAACTTGCACATGCTTCATTTTCTGACCATTTCTTATGAAGAAAAACAACTATGGGTCGGAGCTTTGGGTGGTTGATATGGAAATTCCTCATTACCATGGTGGGGGAACCGTCTTGTCCATAGTCTGGCCATTGTTGAATTTCCACAAAGTGGTACAAATTTCGATTTAAAGCTTTCGTGACTGCAGGGATTCATCTTCTTGGTTCTTTACCGAAAGAACCAAGAAGATGGTACAAATTTTATAAACCCTTGAGAGATGATGGGCTGAGTTAACTCTTGAGAGGGGATTGAACTTGTGACCTTTAGGTTGCGAGTAAGGCGATTAATTGCACTGTTAAACATGTTCATATAATTTAATATTGGTTATTAACAAAAAAGTTTTCTTCCACGTTTAAAATGTGCGAAACATCCCAGTATCGGACCACAGAGCTTAGTCAATTGTTGGTGGCAGCTCTTGCTGCCTTCCCTGCTAATCTGTGGGTTCCTGCATCTCTGTGTGAAAACAGTGCATGTTCCAAATTTTACCACATTTTGAGGTGCAATTTTTATGATTAGTGCTGTATAAAAATTAATGTATTCACTATTATATTTTCAAAGAACGTGTGATTGATTGAATGCTGATGGAACAATGTGGATGCCTTTTGTACACAGGCAATGTGCTCAGTCCATTGCGCAGCTCCAGCAGAAGGCCACTTTGGCACCATTGACCCCACAGCAACAGCAGCATTTAGCTCTTCTCATACAGCACTACCAGACGCTCAAGCAGAGGTGAGTGATGTGCACACAATCCGCTTGCTACTGGCATCTTCACACCAAACACGAGACACAAAACCAGCACACAGACTACACATACACAGACTACAAAGACAACGTTCCCCCCTTATGGCCGTAACAGACTTTTGGGGCAAGTGCTGTTAGCGAGGAGCACCTATGAAGGCCGGGACGGCACACGAGCGAGTGGGTGGCCAGCACAGCGCCCTTTGTCTCCCCAGTGGCGATGACTAAACACTGCACCAGTTTAAACACTGCACCAGGTACTCATTTGAGGCTGAGTCAGCCTAGGGGAGGCCCAAGACCGATTCAGATAATTGCCACTGGTGTTGGCTGTGAGCAGGAATCAAACTCGGGTTGCCAGGTTTGTAGCAAAGCACGCTTATCAATACACCACACACTCGGACTAAAAATACAAAGACACATGCCAACACGAGCACGCAGATTCCAAAGACAAAGCTCCCCAGTATAGCCTTAAACAAACTGTTGGTGAAAGTGCTGTTAGCGAGCACCTATAAAGGGCAATACGGGGGTTTGGTGGCCAACACCATGCTCATCTGTCTTTGTCAGGCTAGCTGCACTTGGAGACCATGTTAAAGTTTGATGGCTTGCTGGCACTTCATTGACCAGATCTAGGTTTTATGGGTTAAATAAATTAGATAACTGGCAGGTGCACCACGTACATTGCCCCGCTGTGCCAGCTTGCTGTGCTTTAAGGATGAGTTATGGAATTATTGGTGTCTGTGTTTTTGTGTTCTGTTGCACTGTGTGTGCAGTGTGCTTCAGTGTGTTTAACGGCTGTGCTGTTGTAGGACCCAGGAGCACCAACAAGGCCTTATCCCTGCAGTGTCACGGTCCCTATCGGTACCAGAATCAACAGGTTCACTGTGGGAACTCAAGACGCCTACCTCCCAGCCTGCAGGTGAGCAGCACAGTGTATGAAAACCCTTGGTAGATAACACTATGTAACATAATTTTTGTTCCTGGGTAGTAAGTATTATTTCGTAATTGCTTATGCCTAAAAAGTATAGAAAATGGCTATTCCCCACAAACTTTGCTTTTGTGACCAGGACAGTGATATTTTTTGATTTACCTATTTTAAATGAGAAATGGGCGATTTGGGTCTTCGTTCACATAAAATCAGAAAAAAAACATTTGAATAAAAATTAACATGTATTTATACTAAAGTAATACAAAAATTACAATTTTACAATTTTTTGACAAATTTTATAACTTAAAATTCCGAGCAACAATTGTCCATCTTACCTTCCAGATTTTCTTGCATTGCTCACAGGTGAAATGAGGTGTTCAGGGTTTGTCTTGATCCCTGACAGGCATGCCGAAATATGCCTTGCAGGCCTAACACATCTTAGCAGATCCTTCCACAGAGTACTTTTTCGCTCTTGTCTTGATAAATTGGCTGCATATAAAGCAAAATGTGTCTGCTGGATGCTTGCAGCCTCTTGATGCCATCTCAGAAAAATGCAGCTGGAACTAAACTGAACTGGTGGACTTAAGGCCCCTGTATTTATGCTACTATTACTGGAAAGTTATAGAATGTTCTAGAAGTTACTCCAAATTTACTCAGCACTGAATCTTTCTGGAATGTTCTGAAAAATAGGTACATTTCAAAATATCACTGTCCTGGTCACAAAAGCAAAGTTTGTGGGGAATAATAGCCATTTTTTGTACTTTTAAGGCATAAGCAATTAGGAAATAACACTTACTACCCAGGAACAAAAAAAATAGTTACACAGCGTAATTTACCTTTATTTAAACAAGTGCGAGTTCTGAAGCATAGACATACATTTTCAAGATACACAGTACAACGTTTTATGGAGAAGACCTAAATGAATACATTGCATTTGTGTAGCACGTGGTTAACAGCCATAATAACCTTTATTGTGCTCTGGAAGTATGATAAAGATTATTATGGCATTTGAGCACAGATGTCCGAGATGGATGATAAGAATTGTCATGTCAAGACAAGATTAGCAATGGAGAAGTCCAGAATGAGAACACTTTTGTGTTGTGGATACGATCTGGTAGGAACGGTGGCACTGGGTAGGGCACGAGTGTGTCGGATGGGTGAGGGCCGTTTGCCAAAACAAGCATAGGGAAGTGGTCTCCACGAGTCCGGCGGCGACCAAGAGAGCGACCTAAGGCCAGATGGTGAGGGACTGTAAGGGCACGCCTTGGAGGTTGCGTGTCTACTGTGTGGCAGCTGGTAGATTTGGTGGAGGGTAAGGGAGTTTTGGCGACGTGTGGTGGCATCAACATCTTTGGCCCTGATGTAACATCTTGTCATTCTGGGAAAGGTTTGCTTTCAGTAGCATAGAGGATTTTATGCGTTGACAAACTTGATATTACTTCCTCCATATAGCAGGATGTAAAAAGTAACAGTTTTGAAACGTATTATCGTTAAACGCTACACTTTTTCAACCAATCGAAGGGGGCAATAGACATACTATGGAACACATTGACACCGCCAGGATGTGCATGGATGGCACATTCGTCGATGTTGTAGGATAATGTAGGCAGGCTAAGCGTCCTCAAGAAATTGTGCAATGCAATGCATAACACTCAAAAAGTAAAAATCACGTACGCCAAGCTCTTAAGGCTAATGGTTACTCCGACTAGACAATCCGCAAGGCCATCACTCCAACCATCAAGAAGGATCCTGTTGAGGAGCCTTTCAAAACCATCACCTTACCCTACATTGCTGGGGTCACAAAAAGATCTCCAAAATCCTGATTAAACACAAGATCCAGGTCCGATTCAACACAGTACATAAAATCCGTGATCTGGTCCCGTCTGTAAAAGATGTGGTTCCAGACATACAGTACCCTGGCATCTACAAACTAAATTGCCTCTGTGGTAGCAGTTACATTGGAGAAACCAAACGACATGTCTCAGACCGCATCCGTGAACATAAAGCAGACCTGAAACACGGTAGGACAAACACCTCAGCCATGGCAGATCACTGTTACAATTCAGTGGGCTCACATGACATTTTCTTCTCCAAGACAGAGGTTCTGTGCAAGCCGTCTGGCTATCATGAGAGATTCGTTCATGAGGCGATCCACATATACAAACACAGAGACAATTTCAACCGAAAAGATGGATTCTGGCTTAGCAATCATTGGAAGGACGTAATAAACCATTTTGGATCTTAACTGATTGTGTTCACGTTTACGGTGACTCTCAGACTGCGTTCCACTCACTGGCATTGTATTCTCCGCAGGGAATGGATTCTTTGCTCTCCCATTGTCATATTTCGTTGCTGCCTCTTAGTATATTTCACACGACGGTCAATGGTACAGTGTATAATAACAAATAGTATAACATTTATATGCTTAATACAATGTACAAAGTAATATATAGTATCGTAATTGTATAGTGAATATATAGCAGTGTGATATACATTAGGGTGGGTAGAATAATACATAGTGTATGGTAATACAGTATATAATTTAATGTTGGGTTTGTCTATGGCAGCATATAGTACGGGGTAGAATTGTTTGATGTAAGGGAAAAAAGTTTATCTGGAAGCATATTATATTTTTTGCGACATAGAATTGTAATGTATTACTTACTGTTAGTAGCTCAGCTTATTGGAGAGTATATTTAGTATACTGATGATACTATGAAGTTTATACTTTAGTTTTTACGTGGTTGTTTGGTTGCTGCAGCTGCATACTATTCACATTCCTTCCCTTTGTTGGTGCTGCCCCTGCCCCCTCCCTTTGATGCTGCTAATCCTGCATAATGCATGGGCATAATATTATTTTGAAAACCCCCCGCCCACCTCCCACGCATTTCACAATTAGCACTATTCACATTCCTGCATTTCCCATAAATATGCTAAATTCCTCTTCAAATGCAAATTCTTTTGTCAAGGCTCTCTTCCTCCTCCCTCACAGCTTAAATAGACACTCCAAGCCTAAGACGTGTCATTTAGACTCTGTCTTATCGACAGACATGTTCTTCACCTGAGGACGGCTGCTTGCGTTGTGGCCGAAACGTCGTGAGAATTATTTATTATGTTTTATTTTTATTATTTTATTACTTCCCTTCTACGTGACTTTACCGAAAGAACCAAGAAGATGAATCCCTGCAGTCACGAAAGCTTTAAATCGAAATAAAAATAATTAATTTAACTGAAGGTAGGTTTGAACTCTTTCAACAAGGTAGAGTCCCTGCGCTTGTGTCTATATCAACATCTATGCACAGTGTCTACCTGGAGAGGCAATGGCTATTAACAGCACAATAGCATACACTGAACGACCCAACTCACACACCACCATAAACACAATACAAAGTGTACCCTTGACGCAATCACCTACCCACTTCATCCCAATAACACTGTCGTCTGGGTACTGTATGGAATAGAGACTCTCCTTATTGGCCCGTCCTGATGACCTAACGACATCGTGTCGTGCAGGATCAAAGTGTCGCAGGTATCTGTTTAATGAGTTCCCTGGTTGTCAAGATGGACCCCGAGGAGGACTCAGAGGGCGGAAGTCTGCCTTGTTCCGCTCCGCTCCCGATCCTTGCCTTGGTCCCGGCCCGTGCTCAATCCATGCTGGTCTTGGCCCTGGGACTGAAGTACTGTTCACTGGAATGCTGTTAGGCTACCTGCTTGCTGACTTAGCCCACGCACTTGCAGTTGAGTTGCTTGATTTGGCCCTTGCACTTGCAATGGAGTGTCATTACTTGGCCCTGGAACCTGCAGTGGAGTGTCATTACTTGGCCCTGGAACCTGCAGTGCAGTGGCTCTACTTGGCCCTGGCACTTGTAGTGGAGTGGCTGGACTTAGCCCTGTCAGAAACTTCTTCTTGGATTTGTAATAAAAGGACTCGAACACTTCTTTCTGTCTTCGTGTCTTTATTCAGGTTCACGTCTTTACCCACACGGCACTCTGTTATAACTCCTGTATTTGTAGCCCCCGGCTATTCACTGCTATTATAGCTTCCTCTCCCCTCTGACTCTCTGCTTCATCTATTGTAACCTCCTCCCTGCAGACTCGCTTCTACCCCTACGCAGACTCCTGCTGCTACCCCTATGTGCAGACCCTCTGGCTGTCACTGTATGCAGACCCGCTGCCCACCCTCTCTGTGCAGCCCCGCTGCTGACTGCAGCCTCCTCGCTGCTTCGGGTCGGTCACCGCTGGCCAACGGTGCCGATCCTCGCTCCCCCCGTGTTCGTGGCGATCTCGCCACACCCCGCTTCGCCCTTCGTGGCCTTCCTCTGTTCCTGGTTCCCCGTCACTCCCCTTGCTCTTCCGGTTCCCCTCCTTCTATACTCAACCCCTCTGCCCCCCACGTGACCTAACTCCTCCCCCCCTGACGGCACCTCAGAAGGGCCGTTTACAACCGCATTACAGATTGACCAATTCCTTCAATGTCCAGTCCTTCACTAATGTAGCAGCATGCTGTGTTGACACCTCAGCTCGTGAGAGGTCTCAGCCATCGGTAGAGGCCCCTGCTGTAGTACAACAGCATAGTGGTTATTTCTCAACTCTCTTCCCATGCCTCTTCTCACGTCCCTCTCCACGTAACTAGGCCTCGCCTTTCCCCCAATTTTCCCTTTCTCTGCAAGTGCAGCATTGGCATGGCTATCCCACGCCCCCTGTAGGATTATATTTTCTTTTCCATGTCATCCATACCCCCATTGTCCTTGACAATACATATATAGGTTCTCGGGGGGCATTTAAAACTCGCTTCGTCACATCAGCACTCTGTCCAATTTGCTCAACAAGGCTGGACAGGCGAAGAAAGAAGCAGAAGCAGAGGAATGTGGAGGAGAGAATTGTGGCTCAGCCCTGTCTACAGACAACATCGAATGAATGCATTTCCAATATATATTTCAGATTGCATAGATATTGGATAGTCCTGGAAATATAAAAATATAATCATTCACACATGCAAAACAAGAAACGTTTTAAGAGCAGTACGATTTGATGTGTACATAGCCATACCTGGTATTTATGGCCAACAAATTGTTGTCTCTGAAGTTGAATTGGTTTGCTTGTGTGTGCAGGCTGGGAGGGAGGCAGCATCTGGGATTTGCCACCCGAGTCGCAGGGCCCCACTCTGGAGCAGTTGCAGCAATTAGAACGTGAGAAGGGAGGCAAGGTGAGCAAATAAATAATCCTCATGTTAATTTTGTTTTGTTAATTTTGTTTCACCAGTTGAAATTTATCCAGGTTAATGGAACCAGGATAATCTCATTTGCAGTGAAAAAGACCAAATTGCAACTGCCCCATGGCATTCAAATCTGACACCTTAGGCAGTCCATTAGTGGTATGTGTGTGCACTGAAGGTGAACTTGTCTTTCAGCTGCTGGATCCAGAGAGATGCGAGGCTGAGCTCAGGATGAGGGACGATGATGAGAGAAAGCGTCAGGAAGAGGTGTGACACGGGGTCCCCTACCCTACCACACCTATGTACATTGTTAACACGTTTTCTTTGAGCTCGTGAAGCCTCGTGTATTCACACCAGTGACTGCGCCTATTGCTTTGTTACTGGGCCAGTTTAACTTTTTTTACAAAATAGGTTTTAGGTTATTTCTTGTATGTTATCCTAGATATGACTGGGTAGGCACCTGCTAATAAAGAAAGTTATTTAATTGACTTGTTTTTATTTTATTTAAAGGAGTAATGTTACCTTTTATTGACCAATACAGAAAATAAGATTTTTTCTTAAACATAAATGTTAATACCCTCACATGGTTTTGTGAGTTGTGAAAATTAACATCTATATATTGCTAAGGAAGAGAAGGATTAATCTGTGTATACTACCTACAATGACATGTCTTTTAAAACATGGTCATTAATGTAAAATTTTGAATGAGAAGTGCACAAATAAGCGTGGATAGATACGTTACTGGCATTGCATGCACACCTGGATACGGAAAGTGGGATGCATGGATTGGACAATGTACACGAGTTAATGGCAACATCTACATGCCGAGTAAAAGTGAGTGGGCTAGGGCAGGCCACGTCCCAGCTAGAAGGGACGATGATGGCCAATGGTCACGAATAATAAAGGAGCGGCAGCCAAGGAATTGGAATGCGTCCGGGAGGACATCTCCTGACGGACGTTATTAATTTTTATTGACTTGCGTACCTCTTCTATACTTTGCACTCCTATTAGTTTTTGTATTTTTTTTTTTTACTTTGACCTGCCCCTATTTGTGAAAAAGCTTCATAGCTCATTGGATTCCTCCAAGATAAGTACAGATTCTGAGATGGAAAAATACAATCAGTTAATGTATGTACTTTGAACTTCTTTTGCACCGTACCTAGCGAACCATGCTAATTGTACTGAATGTGCAGGTCTTGAAAGGATTGCTACATCGCAGGATCATGAGAGGTGGTGGCGGTTTGTGGCAGCCTTTATCCAACAGTAAAATTGATCCATGTCTGATGACGACATGATTTGTTCACCTGTTGCGAACGTCGTGACATCCCCGCAGCAAGTCACCCGAACGTGTGCTGTGAAGGTGACAACGCGGAGACAACAGGAGGAGCTCCTCCAGAGGCAAGAGGAGGAGAGGAAACGGAGAGAGGAGGAGGAGGCTGCCCGACGAAAGCAGGTGACCATTGAGAAGTGATCTCTCCGTGTCATTATCATTCTTCACCGAGACCTGGATTTGAGAGTGGTCCACAGATTATTGCAGACCCTGCTCAAGAACCTATGTTTAACGTCATGTTGGGTGACCCTGACAGATCATTGCTCTGCCACAGAGCAAAGATAAGATATAGAGCCAAGAGAGGCAGGCTCAGTTGGTTGCTTAAAAGATGAGACAGATTTTGATAGCATCCTATAAACAAGTTTTAGCTTTCACTTTGATGTGCCGCCTCGGTTGTGGAGCAGACCAATCATTCGTGGGGTTTAGGAGGGTGCTGTCTGTTAAGCAGACGTTTGTGTCACAAGGGACCGCACCAATGTCGGCAGCGCAACTGGATTATTATGGCACCTCATGCATCAGCATCTGAAGATATCACAAATGATGTGTAACCCCTTGGCCATCACCTTTCCTTATTTATTTCCAGGAAATTGGCTGTTGGTCATGACAAACAATATGTTTAGAGGAGTGGTTCTCAAACTTCCTGGATTTTCAGGCCATTATCAACCCTCATATATATTTAGTGGACCAATTATGTAAACAAAATAGTGTTTTCTGAAGAATTCTTATCCGCAACAGTTAGGCTCAGCACTTCCCACGATCTTGTGGCCCCCATTACACTTACACAGGCTGGGAACTACTGGTTTACAGCATTGTGGGATAATAACATTGAAATGGTTAATGCTATAATAAATATAATTTTGGCAAAATTAGAAAATAATCAGACCGATAGTAAAGTTTTCATGATGATGTTTTTGGTATGAGTTGCATATGATGATAGGTGTGGTTGCGTAAATGAAATATTTTTTGTTTGCAAAATAAATACCAATGTCTCTCCATTAGATACAAATTGGGGAAATGGTCAAGGCGATGTATTCCAGCTGGTGACCCATACAGCGAGTCATCGTTATTGTAACTGTGAATAGTGTGTGTTTGACTTGTCACCGGGGGGTAATGACTTGTCACAGCAGCAGGAGGATGAGGAGCAACTGAGACGCCAGCAGGAGCAGGAGATGCTGCGGAGACAGGAGGAGAAGCGGCGGAGAGAGGAGGAGGAGCGGCGGCAACGCGAGGACATGATCCGAAAGCAGGTGATAGCCCTCCTCCCCGCCCGCAAGCCTTCCCCGCACTCTGTTGTGTTCCATCTTTTGCCTAGTCTCTGATGTACTTGTCTCTGTTTTTGTTGGTGGCTTGTGCCAAAACACTCGATTATATAACATATTAACAACGTCAGAGCCAAATTCTGCCCTGAAGTACGTATCTTGCATTACTTTTGGTAACGTAACTTCATCCGGTCAGTGTGGCTCAGCGGTCAAGCGAGCGAATCATATTAGGAATGTTGGGAGTTCAAATCCAGGCTGGAGGTTGACTCAGCCCATTATCCCCCCCGGGGTTGATAACTGAGCCCCCATGGTGGTTGTCCTGTGGATAGACTTGCTGCCGCCATTGGAATGGAGAAGGCCCACCACTGGCTCCGGCCTGTAAAAGAGGAGATGAGCGCCACCTCAACGCTCACTCGAGCAGCAAATCGCTTTTACTTTGTGCGAGAAAAAGGCGGTCACGCCGGCGGTGGCGTCTCTACCGCAGGAGGAGGAGCGCCGGCATCAGGAGGAGGAGGAGGCACGGAGACGCTGCGAGGAGGATGAGGAGAAAAAGCGCAAGGAGGTGGAGCTCCAGCGGCAGAAGGAGCTGCAGCAGCAGAGGCAGCAGGAGTTGGAGTTGCAGCAGAGGCAGCAGGAGCTGGAGCTGCAGCAGAGGCAGCAAGATCTGGAGCTGCAGCAGAGGCAGAAGGAGCTGCAGCAGAGACAGCAGCAGGAGATGATGCGGCAGAGACAGCAGCAGGAGGCCTTAAGGCGGCTGCAGCAGCAGCAGCTTGCGCAGATGAAGGTATGGCCATTCATTTTCCCCAATGAGCACCGCTCTGTGTGGAAGTGAGCAGTGGTCCTTTGGATACATACAATTTTTATTTTACCAGGCAAAGCCCACTGCTATTATCTCTTTTACAATAGCACCAAAAAATCTAAATGCATGTTTCTTCATGTGGAAGGCAAAGGTGGAGGAATCAGGGAAAAATCCACATGAGCACAGGGAGAGAGAACACACAACCTCCAGAAATACAGGCGCCAGGTTCAGGATTGAACCCACAACCTACATACCAGGCGAGGGAGATTACATCTCGGCACCCCATCATAGGAATGTAGAATTTCCACCACTGGCTCAGGGCTGTAAATTGGATATGAGCAACGCTTCAATACTTGTTTGAGCAGAAAATCACTCTGGCATCTGTAGTGCATAACAGTCAATTAAGCTAACATGTCACACTTTTCATAATAATACCGAGCAATATTCACATTATGGCGAGATTTCTGGGAACAAAATGTTTCACTTGAATTTCGATTTAAAGCTTTCGTGACTGCAGGGATTCGTCTTCTTGGTTCTTTCGTTAAAGTCACGTAGAAGGGAAGTAATAAAATAATAAAAATAAAATAATTCTCACGACGTTTCGGCTACAACGCAAGCAGCCGTCTTCAGGTGAAGAATGAGACACTGCCAAGCTAGGAGCTTATATATAAGCTGGGTTGGAGGTGGAAGAAGAGCGCCTTAACAAAAAGAATGTGCATATCAAGAGGAATTTAGCATATTCATTGGAAATGCGTAGGAGGTGGGCGGGGGGGTTTCAAAGTCATATTATGCCCATGCATTATGCAGGGTCAGCAGCACCAAAGGGAGGGTGCAGGGAGTAGCATTAACAAAGGTAGGAACCTCCTGGTTACACCAGCCCACAGGGGATTATTGTGTCTGTTATGCAGGGAGGGGCTGGGTGGGGAGGGGAGGGTGGGGAGGAGCTGGGTGGGGAGGGTGGGGTGGAGAGGGGCTGGTTGGGGAGGGTGGGGCTGGGTGGGAGGGGTGGGGCTGGGTGGTGAGGGGCTGGTCGGTGAGGGGCTGGTCACCCCGTGGTGCCCTTATAAAACTCAACGTTTAACCTACTCACGCCGGCTTGTGCCCGCCCTCACAGTCGGGCATATTTGCGGAATACACCATGCCGCCGTTGACCCTGGCCATTCACCGAGCAACCCAACGTACCTACCAGCTCCCTCCACAGGAATGTGTTAGATTGTCTAACTGAAACACCTTCACAGATGGCCCTATGACCCCACGTTCAGCCACACATGTTAGACACAAGAACAAATTCCAAAGGCTATTTGAATGTTTTTATTGTTTTGATGCTGTGTAGTGACGTAGAATTGGTCACTAAGTAGCATAGCGCTGGCTGCTGGCAGGGAAGGCGATCTGCAACTTGAAGCAGCCCTGATTAACAGCAGGCCAAGTGATAGACCCGAGAGGGATCTAGGGGAAAGGTTACTGAAGGGACACATCTGGAACCCGCTAGTAGGTTCTATAAAGGGGGCGTGGTCAGGGCGGAGCGAGGCCACGCTGGGAGGATTAAAGGGGGCCCTAAGCAGGAGCTTAGGGCTCATATTCTTAGGTTTTTTCCGTAAAGTCACGTAGGTAAAAAAATAAAATTCATACAGATTAAATATAAATAAAATAAAAATCAACGACGTTTCGGAGGCAACACAAGCTTCCGTCTTAAGGTGGAACTGTCACAGCACGATTGCTGTATCAAGTAAGAGAAATTCCACGAAAACAGTCCTTGTATATATACTGGTTGAGGGTGGGAGGAGCCAAGGCAGGCCCCTGGATATTATTATTGTGAGGTTCGGTGCGGCTGAAGCACGCTGCTAGGAATGAGCCTTGTTGTGTAGACTGGTTGAACTGGGAGGTTCCAAGAGTTGTTAAGGTGCGGCTGATGTAAAGGTGCGGCTGCTGTAAATTGGGACTGAGCATTTGTTATGTAGAGGTGGTGCGGCTGAAACCGCTGCTAGGAATGAGTCTTTGTTGTGTAGACTGGTTGAACTGGGAGGTTCCAAGAGTTGTAAAGGTGCGGCTGCTGTGAATGGGACTGAGCCTTTGTTATGTAGATGAAACAGCACTTTGCTGGTATTCTAGATTTGCCAAATATGTGTGGTAGAACTTAAAGCTGGAAAACCAGTGTGAAAAAAGAAGCAGAAACTATACGGTAACTGAAGAATAGTGCCTGTCAAATAAGATGGTCCAAATATGTGTAGTTAAATCTTTTTTGCATGGTTAATAACATCTTTCCAATGATTACTAAGTTTGTACCCATCATCACGGTTTAATTATGTCTGTGTTTGTATATTTGGATGGCTTCGTGTACAAACCTTTGATGGTAGCCAGGAGGTTTGCAGAGTGCCTTGGTCTCGGAAAAGACAATTTCATGAGAGCCCACAGCGTTGTAGCAATGATGGGCAACGGCGGAAGAATAAGTTTTGCCGTGTTTCAGATCTGACTTGTGCTCGCGGACACGATCAGAGATATGACGTTTCGTTTCTCCAATGTAGCAATCACCACAGCGGCAACTCAGTTTGTAGACTCCAGGGTATTGTTAGTCAGGAATGACATCTTTTACAGATGGAATTAGGTCACGGATTTTATGTACTGTACTGAATTGGACTTGGATCTTATGTTTGTTTAGAATTTTGGAGATCTTTTTGGTCACGCCTGCTATGTATGGCAACATGATAGTTTAGATCGGAGTTTCATGTGGCTGTTTCTGTATGGTGGGAGAAACAGCTTGGCGGATGGTGCGGTCAGAGTATCCGTTCATCCTGAGGGCCCGATGTACATGTCTTAATTCACTGGCCAGGTGGTGTTGGTCAGAAATGCCATGAGCTCTGTGGTATAGTGTTTTGATGAGATAATTCTTTTGAGATGGGTGGTGGTGGGAATCAGGTTTCAAGTAGGAATTTGTGTGGGTGGCTTTCCTGTAGACAGAATGTCCCAAGGCTCCCCCTTGTCACCAGTGAAAACCGACATGGAAAAGTTTGAATCAAACGCCATCCAGACATCCACCCTGCGTCTTTCCCTGTGGAAGAGGTATGTGGATGACACTTTCGTCATTTGGCCACATGGCCTCCCAGCATTGAACCACTTGGACCACATTAATTCCAGACACCCATCCATCAGATTCACCATGGAAGTGGAGAAAGGTGGTAAACTCATTCTTAGATATTCTGTTTGAGAGGAGACCTGACAGATCCTTGGGACATTCTGTCTACAGGACAGCCACCCACACAGATTTTTACATTTATTTGTTGTTGGGTTTTCTGTAGTAATACTATGTCTACCTTTTATACTGATAAATAGACTCTTTAACCAATGAATATTTATTGTATTCAGATGGCTACAAGTGTAGCGTCGAGTGGAGTGGTCGTGTAATATTTAGCACACTGATTTAAATCCAATCACCCACATGGCATGAGCCTTCATCTTTCAATGTTTGCACCATCAATCCTCTGGTGTTTTTGTCTGAATTTTAGTGTACACTATCGGGAAGTACCCGACGTTGCCCGGGGGTAAAATATATTTCAAAATGTATATACATACACAAATAGTAAGCTATTGTAAAAGCCTGGCGTTCCATTTGTCCATCAACATAATTATAAGAGGCTTGCAGAAGTCCAATAAGTTATAGAAAGTGGGGGGTAAATAGTTGATCTTAAAGGTTTCCGAAAAGTGTGGACCCACCCCTCCTCAAAAAATATTTTCACCCCCGCATAGGCATATATACCTACACACCCTACATACAATAGTGTGAGTAGTACTGACTCTATATTCGTATCTGCTGACTCTGTAGTTGTAGCTACTTACTGTACAGTAGTATCTACTGAGCCCAGTAGTAGCTACTGACGGTGTAGTAGTATCTACTGACTGTCGTAGTAACTACTGACCGTAGTAGTATCTACCGACCCTACGGTAGTATCTACCGACTCTATATTATATTAGCATCTATCGACTCAATAGTAGCATCTACCGACTCTATAGTAGTAACTACCAACTCTACACTAGTATCTACTCGCTTTATTGTAGTATCTACTGACTGTAGTAGTATTTGCCGACTCTATAGTTGTATCAACCGACTCTATTGTAGTAAATACTTACTCTACAGTAGTATCAACTGACTATAGTAGTATCTACTGAATTTGTAGTCATATATATTGACTCTAAAGTAGTATCAACTGACTATAGTAGTAAATATTAACTTTATAGCAGTATCTGCTGACTATATAGCATTATCTACTGACTCTCTAGTCGTATCTACCGACTTTACAGCAGTATATACTGACTGTAGTAGTATCTGACTATATAGTAGTATCTACTGACTCTATAGTAGTGTAGGACTCTTACTCGGGTTGTCTTTCTGTTCTCTTTATTTTCCGCTTAAGAGTCCACCTCCGCAGCGCCACCACTCCGCGTCTCTCCATGGCCTCACTCCGCTCCGCGTCTCTCTCTGCAGCGCCACCGCTCCGCGTCTCTCCGTGCCCTCACTCCGCTCCGCGTTTCTCTCTCGCTATGCCGCGTTTCCTCCGCGTCTCTCTCTCTCGCTAGGTCTGTCGACTCCACTGCTACTCTACTCTGCACCCTTCAGATGCATGGCTACCCCTCGTTGCACACTGCGTTCTCGCTACTACCATCTCTGTATACTCTACTCCGTCTGTCGCCGCTAACCCACTCTCTCTCTGCTCTGCTCTATTACCGTTACCGCCTGCTCTGCGATTCCCTGGGCACCGTCGCTGCAGCTCCATCCAAGACGCCGACCAAGACAAGACTCCCTTCTCTCCGTCGCGCTGTGGCTTATATCCCCACACCAATTAATCCCCATTAATTATCTCAACCCCCCGCTTATCACTCGCCCCCTGGCCCCCGGTCTCACGTGACCTTGTTGTTGCCGCCAGAGCGACGCCAGCTAATAACCAATTACCCTCTTAGCCAATCGCTGGCCTGTGTCCCCCCGGCTACCCCAAACACCTGTCTCAACACTTAACGACCCTCTCACCTAATGCCACAACAACAACCGTGTCCTCACATACACCCCACTGTACTCTGCTCGCTTGCATAGCAACAGTGGAAGAGAATGTGTGGCGCGCTATAACTCAAGTCCTACAATAGTATCCACTGACTATCGTAGTAACTAACTCTATAGTAGTAGCTTCTGATTCTATAGTAGTTAATGCTGACTCTATAGTAGTGTCAACCAACTCTATAGTTGTGAATACTGATTCTAAAGTAGTATCTAATTACTATAGTAGTATCTAACTCTATTTGAGTAACTTCTGACTCTATAGTAATATATGCTGACTCTATAGTAGTATCTCACCTGATGATGGACGCTTGTGTTGCGACCTAAACGTCGTGTTCTTTTTATAATTTTTTCTACCTACGTGACTTTACCGAAAGAACCAAAGAGTATAACTCTATAGTAGTGAATACTGACTCTAAATTAGTATCTAATGACTAAAGTAGTATCTACTGACTTTATAGTTGTATCTACCGACTCTACAGCAGTATATACTGACTGTAATAGTATCTACCGATTATAGTAGTACCTACTGACTCTACAGTAGTATCTACTGAATCTGTAGTAGTATTTATTTACTCTAAAGTAGTATCTCCTGACTGTAGTCATAACTACTAACTATATATCAATATCTGCTGACTATATAGCAGTATCTGCTTACTCTATAGTAGTATCTACTGACTCTAAAGTAGCATCTACTGACTGCAGTAGTATCACCCGACTACAGTAGTATCTACTGAATCTATAGTCGTATCTATTGACTCTATAGTGGTATCTTCTGACTAGTCGTAACTAACTCTATATCAGTATCTGCTGACTTTATATTAGTGTAGAGGTGTTACGGGAGGGCAAACAAACACACTGGGCGTGGTTATGCCCGTACGCGAAGAGATGCTTACATCCACGTCCGCACCGTTTAGCCTGGGGGGCTAACACGGCGCTGGGATCCCCCACGGCCCCACCCTCAGTGGGGGAGTTACTATATAAGGCGGTGAGCCAGAGGGCTCGGGGTTCAGTGTTCAGCGTAAACCAACGAAGCAAGAAGACCGGCTAGATAGGCTCTGGGACTCCCCTGGATCGCTGTCCTTCTCAGGACCGACCAGGGCAAGCCAGTGGCGTGGCCCCGAGAGCCCAGAGCCGATGTTCTTGTAAGAGCCGGTCTGGCGACTCAGGGTGCCGTAATCCCAGCTTAACCAGAGCTGGGTCAGCTAGCCTCCCCTCGCCTTAGTGGTGGACCTAGGAGTAGGCTAGGCGTGACAGAGATTGTGTGATCTCCCTGTTAGATGGGTGAAGGGGCCGATACCCCTTCGAGTGTTGTATATCTCGGCCTATATTATCCACTGTGGTTAATAAATGAGTGTGCCTCCGACTACGTCGTCCAAGTCTCCTGGAACCTACTACATTAGTATCTGCTGACTCTGCTGACTATATAGCAGTATCTGCTTACTCTAAAGCAGTATCTACTGACTCGAAGTAGCATCTACCGACTCTGCAGTAGTTTCTCCCGACTTTACAGTCGTATTTACTGAGCCCAATAGTAGCTGCTGACTCTATAGTCGTATATACTGACTATGAGAGCCTCCGGCCTTGCCTAGATGGCCCAGCCGGCCGAGGTAGCACCCTGGCAGGCAGGGGCTGGGCTGCTACCCCCCCCCCCCCCCACAACATCCCCCTACCTGCTCTACAGTAATAGTATCTAAGGGCTATAATAGTATCTACCGACCCTATAGTAGTAAGTGCACACATTGGGGTGGGGGGGAGAAGAGGACATGACGCTTTGAATAATATACCTCAGCGTTGTGTGTTTTTTTGCATTTTTTATGCGAATTAGAATTCCCCCCTCCCACCACCGATCGCGTGTGCGTTGCTAGGGCAACCACGGGTCAGCTTTCTCGCGCATGCGCAGATGCGTGCGTTGGCGCGTGCTCAGTGTAGTAATATAATAATAAATAGTACTAAACTGTTATTTTCGACTGTGAGTTACATTCACTAACACAGCCACCGTTAGCTGTGTTAGTAAATGGCGGCTTGCCATCCTTTTCCACCTCTGTGTGGCGATGGCTTTTTCCGACCTCTCTCGGAGCTTACATTTACAAGCAAATTTCTTACATTGACATGCTAATTTCTCAATACAATGGCCACCCCCACAGCTTAGATTCTGAGTTACATTCACTAACACAGCCACCATTAGCTGTGTTTGCAAATAACGGCTTGCCATCCTTTTCCACCTCCATGTGGCGATGGCTCTTTCCTAGCTCTCTCCGAGCTTACATTTACAAGCATCTCTAAACCTTTGTAAACAGCTCTTTGATTGGAGTAGTAGACCTACTGCCGGTTACAGAGACTTGTCCTACATTAACATTAGCTGTCCCGCCCATCTCTAAACCTTTATAAACAGCCTGCCTCAGCAGCTTTCCCCCTCTTTTTTCACCTGATGACGATTGCTTGTGTTGCGATCAAAAAGTCGTGATATTATTATTTATTATAATTTTTCTATCTTACGTGGCTTTACCGAGGAATACCCAACTAGGAATTTTAATTATATCTCCCAATTGCGAGCTGCTTGTTCTGCCACTGAGCCAGCTGGTCACATGGTCAGCTGAGCTCTAAATATTATACAATAACTTGTCCTCGATGGGTGCCAGTTATGTGAAATTAAGTTGTTGTTTTGAAACTTAAGTGTTGCCAAGAAATCGAGTGAATGTTTTAACGGACGGAACACGCGCACATTCTTCTGCCTTCAGCTGCCCTCGTCGTCCACGTGGGGGCAGCAGGTGCCAGCCATGAGCAGCCAGCAGTCGTCGCTCTCCCTCGCCGAAATCCAAAAGATCGAGGAGGAGCGAGAAAAGCAACTGCGGGAGGAAGTACGTTCCCGTGTTTTAATGTGCATCACCATCAGTCTTCTTACATGATAGTGCAATGCAGTAGTGGTTCCCTACCTGCAGTTCGCATGGCCGTTGGGAGTGCTCTGCAGAACCGTTGCGGATACAATTTTTTTACAAAACCTATTATGTTATGAGTATGTGGTGGTCTGCAAAATTTATTTGAGGGTCGACATTGGTCTGCAGGTCCAAAGAGGTTGGGAACCAATGCACTATAGCACAGGTAACAACACATTGGTAAATAACTCCACTGCTTTGAAAAGAAATTGTTTCATTGGCAATGTTTTGGGCAGTGGGCCTTCTTCACAACACAGAGAGAGTGTTAAGGATGATTGTGTTGAGTGTTTTAATTTTTGTGAACCACGACCAATGGTGTATTATCAAATAAACATACCCGTCCAAGGACGGGTATGTTGCAGTAAATCTTAAACTTGCAAGCGAATAGCAGACCGCGACGGAATATTCTTTGCATTAATGAGTGTGCAATTTATAAGGGCACGGTGACACAGACCTATTTCATTTTAAGGTTATCCCTTGTTCATTATGATGTCCTTTTTACTTTGATGTCTCAATAGCGTTACGGAAATCGCATGACGTGAGGGTTCTGAATTTGTAGTGAGGGTTGTAAGTTGGTACCGAGGAGGGGGGAGGAGCCGCTAATTATTATGAATGGGTGGGGGGGAGTCCATTTGGAGGACATCACCTTATAATGATTATTAATGAGGGGGGCTGTTCGATGTGGAGTGATGTCACCTGTCCATGTGGAGGACGTAACCTGTTCATGATTATTAATGAGGGGGCTGGTCGACGTGGAGTGACGTTACGAGCGTTGCACACATGCATTATTAGCTCATTATAGTCTTCTTTCTTTGTTTTTTTATATAAAAGTCTCCGCGCGGGCTACTGTAAAGTCAGATACTACTATAGAGTCACTAGATAATACTAACTCTATTGCCCATGTTGTTTGCGCTACACAAGCTCACTTTCCCCCGAATCCCCCTTTGTTTTGCTTCTGCATTAGCGCACTACTTCCGCAGCTCGTGTTGCTTGCGCAGCTCTTTCCCCCGCCCACTCACTTTGAAACCCTTATAAGCAGCTCCATTTGGAGGCTTGTCCCCTCTTTTTCTGTCCGCCTGATGAAAACCGCTTGTGTTGCGGTCGAAACGTCGTGGGTTTTTTGCTTTTATTATTTTTAAATTTTATTTTTATTTCTAATTTGTAATTTTATTTTACTATTTTTATTGTGGGTTTTTTGCTTTTATTATTTTCAATTGATTATTTTATTTTAATTCTTTTAATTAATTCTTTTTTATTTGAATTGAAAAAAAATTACATTTTGTGTTATCTATTTACGTGACTTTACCGAAAGAACCAAGAGTAAGAATGTTATTTTTTTATTTAAAGCTTTTGTGACTGCAGGGATTCATATTCTTGGTTCTTTCGATGCCCAATGCATCTCTGATCAGGAACACATTGCCAATTAACTCAAGCACGTACACCAAGCTCTTAAGGCTAATGGTTACTCCGACTACACAATCCGCAAAACCATCACTCCAACCATGAAGAACGACCCTCTTGAGCAATTTAAAACCATCACCTTACCCTACATTGCGGGGATCACAAAAAAGATCTCCAAAATCTTGAATAAACACAAGATCCAGGTCCGATTCAACACATTACATAAAATTTGTGATCTGGTTTCCGTCTGTCTACAAACTGAGTTGCCTCTGTGGTAGTAGTTACATTGGAGAAACCAAACGACATGTCTCTGACCGCATCCGTGAGCACAAAGCAGACCTAAAACACGGTAGGACCAACACCTCGTCTGTGGCAGATCACTGTTATATTCAGTGGGCTCACATGACATTGACTTCTCCAAGACAGAGGTTTTCTGCAAGCCATCTGGCTACCATGAGAGATTCGTTCATGAGGCTATCAACATATACAAATACAGAGACAATTTCAACCGAGAAGATGGATTCTGGCTTAGCAATCATTGGAAGGATTTGATAAACCATTTCGGGTCTTAATTGATTGTGTTCACTCTTACGGTGACTTTCAGACCGGATTCCTTTTTCATTCTCCCCCCTCCTCTTTTCTGAACATAGATGAACTCGTCCATCTGGCCAACTGCCAAATCGCTGTCCGTGGTGCTGACGTTAGGAAAAACCACCACTTTTTTCACATATTTTTGCTGTGGATTTCACACCTGATGATGATTGTTTGTGTTGCAGTCGAAACGTCGTGAGAATTTTTGTTTTATATTTTTATTATTTCCCTTCTACGTCACTTTACCGAAAGAACCAAGATAAGAATTTCGATTTAAAGCTTTCGTGACTGCAGGGATTCATCTTCTTGGTTCTTTCGGTAAAGTCACGTAGAAGGGAAGTAATAAAATAATAAAAATAAAACATAATAAAACAATTCTCACGACGTTTCGGCCACAACGCAAGCAGCCGTCCTCAGGTGAAAACCAGGTCCGTCGAGGCGACAGAGTCTGAATGAAACAGCACACGAGCTTGGAGCATATATATAAGCTGGGCGCATTGACAAAGTAATTTGCATATCAAAAGGAATTTAGCATATTTATGGGAAATGCAGGAATGTGATTAGTACTGCATATGCATGTGCATTATGCAGGATTAACAGCATCAAAGGGAGCTGCAGTTACTGCTGTTCACGTTTACGGTGACTTTCAGACCACGTTCCACTCACTGGCATGGTGCAGTGTGCAGAGTAATGTATGGTGTCGTAATTGTACAGTAAACATATAGCAGTATGATACACATTAGGGTGGGTAGAATAATACATAGTGTTATATTAAAATGGATAAGGCAGCAACTGCAGCAGCAGCAGCAAGTGCAGCAGCAGCAGCAAGTGCAGCAGCAGCAACTGCAGCAGCAGCAGCAACTGCAGCAGCAGCAGCAACTGCAGCAGCAGCAGAAACTGCAGCAGCAGCAGCAACTGCTGCAGCAGCAGTAACTGCAGCTCCCTTTGATGCTGTTAATCCTGCATAATGCACATGCATATGCAGTACTAATCACATTCCTGCATTTCCCATAAATATGCTAAATTCCTTTTGATATGCAAATTCCTTTGTCAATGCGCCCGGCTTATATATATGCTCCAAGCTCGTGTGCTGTTTCATTCAGACTCTGTCGCCTCGACGGACCTGGTTTTCACCTGAGGACGGCTGCTTGCGTTGTGGCCGAAACGTCGTGAGAATTGTTTTATTATGTTTTATTTTTATTATTTTATTACTTCCCTTCTACGTGACTTTACCGAAAGAACCAAGAAGACAAGATAAGAATGTTAGTGTTAAGCACTTCTTCTCTTTGAGAAATTGTATAAGGGGCTATCCATTTAGTACGTACGCAAAAATCTGTCAACTCGACCCCTCCCTGTACGCATGTGTACTTTTTACACCCCCCCCTCCCCGCCTGCGTACGTACGCTTGACGCACCCCCCCCCCCCCCCCGAATCCTATAGAACGGCCAATGTTTAATGCATGCAGAAACGATCAAGGATTAATAATATTAACGTGTTTAAGCAAACAGTCCACCGCCGGACTATCTAACTCATTTGTAGGCCAATGTAGACATTATTATCTTATTATCGAGGCTTCACTCCCCCACCCCGCGTTTCCTATGCGTACGTACATTGTCAGTAGACCCCCCATACTCAAGCGTACGCATTTGAGTTAACCCCCCTCCATGCGTACGTACTAAATGGATGGCCCCTAAATTGAGGGTACCAAATAACCAAAACACCACTGTCATGGTGTTTTGTCCATTACCCTGGACTTGCAGTTCTCTCTCCACCTAGCGGTATACATGGTATGACACCGTTCATTAATCGGCATATTGTTTGTGGTGGAGTAAAGTATGGGTATGCCCGCCTCTTCCAACAGGTCTGGCCAACGTGGAAGATTAGACCTAGAGTTTTGGCTAAGGGCCACCTTACCAGCAGTGGCATAAGCAAGTGATTGCGGGGCTGGAGGGGGGCCACGTTGAAGTTTTTTTACCAAATGAACAATCTTCAATATTGTTTTCGCTCACAGCAACGCCGACAACAAGATCTGATCAAGACGTTGCAACAGCAGCAACAGCAACAGCAGCAGAAACCCGTCGGGTGGAACAACGTGAGCAAGGCCGGCTTGTCGGCCAAGTCTCTGCTGGAGATTCAGCAGGAGGAAGCCCGGCATGTGCAGAAGCAACAGCAGCAGCAACGGGCGCAGGCACAGGCCCAAGCTCAGGCACGCGCAGTAAGAAATTACAACATTTAATGCACTTGTCTACCCAGGAAAGTCTCACCGGATTTTGAGTGTCCTGCTACATTTTTGACAGGAGGTGTTGATGATTGCTATATGTTTTCAATTAATTGATTGGCGGTGTAATTTGGCGATTTTGGACCTTGGCACCAGCAAGCAATGGCTTACTATTCTTCCAATTACGTCATGGGATCGTTAACGTCCACTGCGAAGCGGACAGCCGTCGTATTTTGCGGTTAATACAAACTGCAGTATTAACCAGGGCGGCTTGCCAGTTCCACACCGCTAACCTCTGCAACAAGCGTTGAGCGAATTGCCGCTGGGTCATAGTTCTGCTCATACAGCGATGCTGTCATAGATGATGCCCACGTTCTCATCACTCACGAGGGATGCATATTTATGTTGTTGTGGCCAATAGCTTTTATGCTGCCACCATCCTCTTACCATTGCTTCTGCTACAGCTGTTGCAAAGCCAAGTCGTGATATAGAAGGCCTGTTCTTACAATGCCTCATGCTCTGATTTCAACTGTTTTCCTTGGTCACCATTCTGTGTGCCACACCAATGCCTGTCCGTAACCTACCTGTTACTTGCGCCTACCTGTTTCTTATTCATGGGGAGCAGTAGTTTAGCAGTTAGCGGTATGAACCCGGCGGTCTGAGTTGGATTCCTGCTCACGGCCACCACTACTGACAATTATCCGAACCAGTCCTGGGTCTCTCCTAGGTCGACTCGGCCTCAAATGAGTACCTGGTGCGTGGTGTAAACATCGCCACAAGGGAGACAAAGACGACCTGGCGTGGTGCTGGCCACCCACTCCCTCGTGTGCCATACCGGCTTTCATAGCTACTCGCTCACAACAGTCTGTTAAGGCTATACGGGGGATCTTTGTCTTTTTTTTCTTGCATATGTGCTCTTTCCCTCTCAACCTTCCTCCTCCTTCCCATGTAGCCTACAGTTTATTGCTTCTTTGTATAATTCTGAATTTTCAAGTTGCCTACGCCATCATCCCGTAGAGATGTGTAGCATCCTTCACACAAATCCGTGTTTGAATGGGGAACCAGTCTTCTTATCGCCAGTTGCTTTGTTACAGGGCAGCCGCTGTTACTTCTGCATCTGGCAGCCATTTTTTCAGCACTTAAGTTGACTCGATTCCTTCAAATGTATTTTATATATCAAAACATCACTGCTACACTGGCAAATATGTATGGGAAAAAAATCCTTCTGATATCATTATTCCTCTATTTTCCGAGCCTGCATGTTTAAAATAAAAAAAATGTTGCGGCTGAATCCATATTTGATATGTTTGATTCACTCCAAATAATTTCCTTTGATTTATAATTGCTGTGTACAATTAATATTTCAGTCTTATTTGTAGCAGGCCTCCATTTAATTTCAAAAGACACCGATTGAGAAATGAATATTCTTTGTCAGTGCTGGTACGGCCGTTTCGCATCGCAGTGTGTGAAGGTTACCTTCCATCTGTCTTCCACAGCAACATTCAAGCGTCCCCATTAACAACACTTCCGTGTGGGGGAACGTGAGTCCCGGTGGCTCCTCTAACCCGTGGGGTTCTGATGTGAGCAATCTTTGGGGGGGGGCTGGTGCTGGCACCATCCAAGAAAAGAAATCTCCCAACATTGGCTTCTGGGACGACGCTGTGAAGGAGCTGGGCCCGCCGGTGCGCAATGTCAACATGAAGACCAGCAAGAGCAGTCCTTCGCTCGGGTAGCGCTCGCGCACGCACATGAACGCGCGCACGCTCGCGCCGCCCACCGGCGAGAGCGCACCGAAGCAAAGTCCACAGCGCACGTAGCACTGTTACCATGGTCACTCGTTAATTCTTGCACCCATGTTAAGGACCCGGTCTACCAGACATTGACTGTTTCGTCTCATTCATACTGCATTCAACCACTAAACTGCAGGTGCACTAAAGATGAATTACCTAAATTATCAACAGAAGGTGTATATCGGATTAATTGTGTATGTGGCAGATGCTATATTGGACAGACAGGGCGTAACGTTAGTGTAAGACTAAAAGAACACCAGAGAAATATTAAACTGTCGCAAACACAACTGTCGGCGGTGGCAGAACATGCATGCCAACAGGGACACTCAATTGATTTTGACAACGTTGAAGTATTGTGTAAAACTAGTTACTACTGGCAAAGACTAATTAGAGAATCCATTGATATTGAGGGACACAGAAATAACTTTAATCGCTCAGACAGCTGCAGGCTTAGTGCGGCCTGGAAGCGTATTATTAAATAAGATACATTACAATTCCTTATAAGGGAAACAAACACTAACTGATTACTAATGTAGCATAATCACAATTAAACACATGCCAAATGATTACTAATCTACAACTCGCATCGTAACAATAGCCTGATTTCTAATCTAGTATATAATTACAATAACCCCCCCTCAAATATTTGCACCTGACGAATTAATGAGTTAATGATGACGTCACCCTGCTGCTGCTCTATATAAGAACGGGAGACACAGCAGAGCCTCACCATTCTGGCGAATTGCCCGATGATGCTGGATGCAATTACCAGCGAAACGTCGTACTCAAATTGTAAATGTTGTGGTTTCACGCTTCAACACACCGGTGGGCTAAAGCAGTGAACTATTTGTATTTTGTCAACGTGACACTTTTTTACTGATTGGCCGTGTCGGGTGGTGGAGGGTTACGACACATTTATAAATAACGCGATCTAAACCCAAAAACGTTGATTATGGATGAGTTATGTGTAACGAACTTGTTCCACGTAAATTAATTTTTGCTTATGTTTATTGTAAATCCTGTTTTCCCAATACTTTTTTTGTCATGAAGGGTCCTGGCAAAGAGCAATAAGTGTGTGTGTGTTTTGCCTATGAGGGGAAACCAGAGAACCCAGAGGAAACCAATTTGAAAAGGGGGTAGAGTACCACACAGAGAGGCACCCGAGTCGGGGTCAAATTAAATATTTTAACATTCGTAATTGTATGTTTTGTGTCTTCTCAATGTTGCCTAGTGAGTCGTATGGAATTCCGTCACGTCAAAGCAAAAAGAAAACGGAAGAAGAAGACAAGCTGATGAAACTATTCCAGGGAGTGAACAAGGCCCAAGACGGATTCACTCAGTGGTGCGAGCAAATGCTGCATGCTCTCAACACTTCCAACAACCTCGATGGTAAGAACGGGCACCTGCATACATTTCGTTTTCAACAAAATCTCGCCTAATAGGGCGGAGTCCCAATGTATGTATGTTGAACTTCTTTTGCACCATACGCAGTCAACCGTGCTATTTGGAGGTATGGGGTAAGGACTACAAACTAAACACTACAACTTGCAATGCTGTATAACGATAGTGCTAACAACTCTATATCCATCATTGGTGGCCGATACTCCAAGCACTGATCCATTTTTAAATCCTTTATATTAAGTTCGCTTGCTTGCTTGCTTGCGTGCTTGCTTGATTGCTTGCGTGCGTGCTTGCTTGCTTGCTTACGACCGTGCAAATCTTTCGGTCGTTTTTTAACCCACTTCCCGTGATCCAATCGAGCTTACATTTTCCACAGACTCGTTGTGACAGACAATTAATGTTCGTGAAAATTTTTTTAAAAATTTTACACTTTTTAGGCAAAAAAAAATTATTTTACATTTATTCAAATAGAACTCATTCATGGCTTTGGCTGAACGTCACAGTATAGGAGCCCAGAGCGTAACCCCTCCACAGGCCGTGGCGGAGTAGCGCAGTTGGTAGCGCCCTCGCTTCCCATGCCAAAGGTCGCGGGATCGATCCCGGCATCCTCCACAGGCGAATATATTTTAAATCCTTTATATTAAGTTCGCTTGCTTGCTTAGGACCGTGCAAATCTTTCGCTCGTTTTTTAACCCACTTCCCGTGATCCAATCGAGCTGACATTTTCCACACAGACTCTTTGTGTGTGACAATTAATTTTCGTGAAATTTTTTTTCCAAAATTTTACACTGTTTAGGGAAAACAAATTAAATATTTAATTACCAATTGCTTAATACTGGCAGACAATCATCTGACCCATAGATTGCAGCCATCTCAAGCCAGAGGACGAGAGGACTCTAGCCGCCACGCATATAAAGGATTTAGAGTGAAAAACTTTGTTTTTACGGGTTTACTTATTGTGGATCTTATTGGGCTCCACCAGAAAGCTATGACCAACGATGACCTCGATTTCACCATGTTTATTTCATCAGGGAAGCTACTTACGTAACTAGATTCCGTTTCTTAACACTGTTTTCTCCTGTCCTGTTACACCGTTCTGTATATGTAACAAACGTGGAATTAAAATGTATAAAATAGAAAGTTCCCATCATGTTTGATTAGTCTTGAATTCTGGCAACGACTAGGCCCGAGCGCAGGCTTGACCCATGTGCACACGCGGTACCAATGAGTTCCAACGAGGCCTGACTCAAGCGCCGCACTAATGCGAAATTAGGTACCAACGACACAATTATCATTAAACATTATGAAAATATACCATTGAAAGTAAGTCAGTGTGTACATGTGTAATAAGAGAGCGCCATCTCCTGCATTATTGTGGGGGTTACATTTACAGACTGATACAGTCCACGGATTATCCATTGTAGGGTTTCTATCTGGGGGAAAGGTGATTGGGCGGATCTACCAGGGAAGTCTCTGGAACGTTCCCGAAGGTTCCAGGAGGGGCGTGGCCAGAGGCGGGGCTTAGCCTCCGGGGAAGTGAATATAAGCCTGGGGTACAGCAACATTAGGGGTCGGTGTTTGAAGATCAAAGAGGAGCTCCCCACCACTGCTGCCTCGACATCTCCACCTGCCACATGGCGGCTCGACCTCCAGCCGCTCCCTAGCGCCGCCAGCCAGCGGTGCATTAGCGAGCGAGGTGAACGCCACGTGGCGCAGGGCAGTGCAGCCACGAGAGCAGGTCGACATCCGCAGAGAGAGAGAGAAGTTGCTGTTCCGAAGATGAATAAATACCTTGAAATTACGTACCGTGTCAGAGCCACTTATTCCACTTGTATCGAACATCTTCTCTTTCTGGCAATAAAACAGGTGTTAAGATGTTCAAACACCACATAGATATATTTTGCAAGGAATTAAGTCTGCATTAACCATACGTACTTGTGGTGAACATGCAAACAAACATGCTCTGATAATCTTAACACCTGTTTTATTGCCAGAAAGGGTAAAACCTATTCTTATTTTTCATACTTTGATAGTGGCAAAAAGGTCATATATAGCTGCACACCTCGAGATATCAATGGTTTGATACATGCATTGTCTTTGTACTCCTCTCTGGTCCGACACTGATGAGACTAGGCCATCAAGAAGGCTGTCTCTAGTGTAGGCTAATCCGTTTCAAAGACAATGCATATATTATCAGAGCATGTTTGTTTGCATGTTTAGTACAAGTATGTGTGGTTAATACAGACTTTATTCTTTGTAAAAGGTGTCTATTTGGTGTTTGAACATCTTTGTGTTTTAACAGGACTTTTCAATCAAATGTTAAAATAAATAAAATTACCAGATATTTACATACGATTCATGCTTGCATCATCTGAAAATGTTTATTTAATGACGATATGTATCTATTTCCGCAGTTCCTACATTTGTGTCATTCTTAAAAGAGGTGGAGTCTCCCTATGAGGTACACGACTACATCACAGCATACCTGGGAGAGACACCAGACGCCAAGGAGTTTGCCAAACAGTTTTTGGAGCGCCGTGCCAAACAGAAGCAAAACCATCAGCGCCAGCAGCAGCTGCATCAACAGCAGCAGGTGCTCCGTGCTGCCTCAACACAGACAGCAGACAATCGCAAAGCACATAACAAATATGCAATTCGGTAATTTATCAGTTATAACTTCACTCCTCCGGGCCAGGTGGCTTGGCGTCAGAGCGAGTGGCAATTCCTGGTTGGGGGTTAATTCAGCCCACCAAACTCTCTGAGGTCGATACAATGAATATCACTTGTGGGGATTTCAAAAGTGGTTTTCATATGTATATACTTGCCACAGCGATAGGAATGTGGAATTTCCATCACTGGCATGGGGCTGTAAACGTTATATGAGCACTGGCTCAATCAATGCTCATCTGAGCATAACATCGTGTTCTTGTTTAAAATAGAAATCTTGAGCTCGTTAACTGAGTCTGCGCATTTTTACCCTTGCCACGTGTCTTTCAGGAGTCCGTGTGGGGTCTCCCACAGGGCGGTGGTGGTGGCAGCATGCCTTCGGCATATCAATGTGGCCACAGTGCGGCGCAGCAGGCCAGCTTCGAGGCCATGCAAGCCAGCAAGAAGAAAAAGAAACAGCGCATGGTCAGGGCAGACCCCAGTATTCTTGGTAACTGTTTTCAGCCATTTTCTTCATACAGCAATGCATTGTCTGCCAAGAGTGGCTTAAGTAACAGCATTACGGTCAATACCACATTGTTCTAAAATTGCTTAAGACACATTTCTCTTGACAGTTGCTGAAATGTTGAAAGTGGTTGTCAAATATTGAAGAATGAAAACGAAACTGTTAAGGCATATTCTTAAGTGCAATTGTATTAACTTTGTATAATGTAGGCTCTTTTTGATCACATTTTTATTCTTATATTTGTGTGCAATATAAACCTTTCATAATTACCCTAATATTCAACTACTTTTAACAAGGGGAGATTAACATTGGAGGGGTGGTTAATGAGCAAATAATGTGGAGAATGGCAGCCTCAAGAAACAACAGGAAATTGCTCTGTGGCTGGCCATCTGAAATGTCCGAATGCTCGCTGTGGGAGAAGGTGTCATTCCTCTGCCGGGAGCTGAATTGGTATCACCTGGACCTCTGAAATGCAAGAGGTCCCATAGACTCGTTGTGGCTATAATTACCACGAGAGGTGGACGACAGTTCTCTACTCGGCATAATTAAGTAAAGCAATGGAGTGGCTAATTTTTTGAGTCAAAGAATGGAGGAGCCCTAAAGGTGTGATTGTGGTGGTGCTGCTCATGAGGTTTGGAAGGCCCAGTCTGCTATGGGCTCACCTCCCTATCAACAAGAGGTGATGTTGGTTCCCTTTGCCACCACCAAACATGCCTATTCCTTGAGGGATGCAGGCAAGGCTGATGACTCACATGAGGAGTCATATGACAGGTTTTTGCTTAAGTGGCTGCTCTGGACAATATTTTTTTAGCTGCCTGAGTTGGCTATGTGGTGCTATCACTTGTTTGGAAGACATGGGCCAGAACAGCTCAGTAGCAAATTTCGATTTAAAGCTTTCGTGACTGCAGGGATTAATCTTTTTGGTTATTTCGGTAAAGTCACGTAGAAGGGACAGACCTGTTCCTCACCTGAGGACAGTTGCTTGCGTTGTGGCCGAAACGTCTTGAGAATTATTTTATTATGGTTTATTTTTATTATTTTATTATTTCCCTTCTACGTGACTTTACCTAAAGAACCAAGAAGATGAGCTCAGTAGCAGGCTATTATTTTCAGTCTATGGGCTTGTAATTACCAACACACTTTTGTCACCAACACATCAAGACAAAAACTTAAGTGTATGCCAGTCTAAGCAAGAATATCTGCTGGACTACAGTGATGGAACAGCGAATATGAGTCCATGTCTTTGACACCAGGATCTACTGCGGAATCTATCCAGTTACCATCAACTTGTCATCTGTAAGATACACCTACCATTGTCAAACTGTTGGTGTGTCTACTTAGGGTGAGGTTCAGAACTGTGGCTCATGTAGCCGTTATGGCTCACAGACCTCCCCAGAAACCCTGGTTGAAGGAGTAAGTGTTGAAGCTACCAAGAGAACGCAACATTCTCATTTTCAACATCCTATGCGTGAGAATGAGGAGAGGATTACTTCTTTCAGACATCCGTTGCTGCACAAATTCAACAGAGCATTTGCTTTAGTATGTCGCCATGAAATGAGTTCATGTACAAGAGCGAGGTGGATCGTGGCATCGTAAGACCATGAGAAATCGCAATAGTGCAACAAGGCCATCCAGCAGTGGCTGGACAATGGATTTTGATTATGATAGTAACAATAATGGTGATTATGCTACTAAACTGTGACGATGATGATTGTATGACACCCAGAAGTGGTCCGTGGACATTACTTCATGACTCTTGTTACCTGCATCCATTCCACGGATAAGACGAGTGGACTGGAAGTATCTCTGTTATTCTCCATGTGCACCAGTGTACATTTGTTGAGTTTCATTTATCCACGGCTATCGATACGTATAAACTTCGTTGTGATTTACACATGATAGGATCTGTGAATAGTGACTCCCATGTTGCTGCAGATAGGAAGCGTTTCACCCTGTATTTATAAGCATTTTAATTTTAGGACTGTCAGGGTCCAATGAAGACTGCTTCTGACTAAGAAACCAAGTACACAATCTATTGACTTTAGGCTTTACGCGATCTCTAACCATTAACGAGGTCTGGTGAGGGCCAGATGAGTTTAATGTCTTACACACATGGTCCTCTGTATAGTCGATACATTAGTCCTGTCATTCGGTCATCAGCAGCACTCGGTGAAGGCCCAGAGAAAGTGGGGAGCCAGCAAAGGGGAGGGGCTTAATTTTTGTATTGCACCCCTGTCGTGTTTTTGTATTGTTTGTTGTAACGTTCTTATCCCCCCCCCCCCCCCTTACTGGATATCTGTGAAAAAGAGCTTTATAGCTCATCGGATTCCTCCAGTATAAATAAATCTGATTCTGATAATAGGATGGGCAGATGTCATCCCACAGAGTCCAATTAAAGGTCATTCTGAATGTAAGCAATGTACAACCTATGGGAGAGCTGCCACTGGTATAATGGCGTCTTAAATCTCCCCACTCCTCCCCTATCCCCCATGTGTAGCCAACAATGCTCATCGGAGGTGCGGGAAAATCTGGGTACATTCACAGTTGATCGACAGGTCGTGTAAGGTGGAGTAAAGTGTGGATCCGCCGACTTGTTCCAACACGTCTGGTCAACGTGGAAGAGTAGATCAAATGCCTTCGAGTTTGTTGTCATGGAGACTCGACTGTCAGCATTAAGCGATCTCACCGTTACCTTTTACAACCAATGACTTTTGACCTGCTTATAAACCACGACTGAATGCTAATTGTGATAAGTAGCGTTTCACCTGATGGACAAAAACGTGCTGCAGATGGCAATAGGTGAGTGGGGAGTGTGTAAGTGGTGAATGTATGAGATTGAGGGGCTAGAATGTGAGTGGTGTGTGTATCGGATGAGTGTATTTAGTGTGACTGGTGTTTGCTTGGTGTGATTGCCTGGTTAATAGTACGCAAGTGAGTAGTGTCAGGTGATTGGTGAATGTGCTTGTCTTCTGGTGTTGGACTGCATGAGGGATGAGCGATTTCCACTATTAACTTAAACGTAGATATAAAAAATTGACCCAACATTAGTTGCATTTATTGCTTCACTATCAGTAGGTTAAACTGCTGTTGACCTTCATGCAGGGACAGCAAATCCAGCCCTCATGGCATTCCACGGCCACCTTTTCATGATTACCTATCTATTCATATACAAGTAGAGCCACTGCACAAAATTACACTCACCTGATAGTTGTACCGTGAGGGGTCGTGAGGACTGGGGTTGATCAACACTGACCTATGCAATACTCAGATAACATTCCATCATGTGTACTCTTTGTCATGGGCAGCTGGCAAGTTGTTTGGTGAGAGGGGAATTGGAAATGACGAAAGGAGGCAGGGGAGTTGGGGTTGCGCGAGACATGGCGGTAACGTTAGACCCCCACCGTCTACAAAACCACTGCTGTTAATGAGCACATAGGGCAGCCCATTCCTTGGGGGTAGAGCACAAGATGGCGACGTCACAGGTCACACCGCAGTCCAGCGATAATTTGTGGCTTGCAACCGTGTAGGTTCTGTAGGCCACCGTAAAGAATTGGCAGGTGCCACGATGAGCTGTTAATCTCATTTCCTTTATTCACTACTAATATCATTCGTTACTGGTTGAAAAATGCACATTGGTCACAGTTTAACTTTTGTATCAAGTTTGAACGAGGCTCGCTATTGAAAGTGTCACTTCATGCCCTCGCTTGTTGTTTCTTACAGGATTCTCAGTGAACGCTTCGTCGGATCGTCCCAACATGGGAGAGATAGAAACCCTGGAAGACTAAGGTGGCTGTGGATGGGAGCGCAGATTTCAGGCTGAGGCTGGCGCTCTCTGTGGGCGTCCACGTGAACGTGGAAACGCATCAAAAGGTGTCGCTGCCGTTTCATTCTCTTCAAAACGCCCTACTACCACCCATCACCTCCACAGCCGGCAACAGTGCGAGCTGCAGAGGTTGGCATATCTCATGGGCGAGTTGTGTTGCATTCGCGTGAGCCAATGTTGTTTCCAGGCCCCCTGAGAAATGTTCGATTCAGGGAATAGGCGTTCTCCAATTTAATACGATTTTTAATATCCAGTCCCAACACATCTAAACAAAAGTTTGCCGTTTTTCGACACTTGTACATTGTACTTGGTATTAGAGAAATTTCTCTATTAAAAGCAAATGTCCATCGAGTCAAAATGTAAAGCATTACAAGCCTAGCTCAGTACATACTGGAAATACTTTGATTGTTGAAGTGTTTTAGACCGGGGACAATCTGCCTAAAGCTCTGGACTGCAACTTACATTTAAGAAGATGTAACGTTCTCCAGGCAGTATCAGGGGGAAGAGTTTACAAACTCCCCTTTTGGCAACTGTTCACATAACAGAAATATAACCTGTTATGACCAACAAACGTACTCGTTTATTTGCTAGGCATGTAAATTGTTGGATGGCTGAGGAAACCCATTTTTTTCAATTGCATTTTTCAAAGTATAAGTTTAACCTTGTTTTGGGAAATGTTATGGCAGGGTTTTCAAAATGTGTGGATATTTTATGGAGGAAATGACTCTGCATCACTCATTGCAATGTAAATATGAAAATTTCCAAATAAAGAATATTGATGCATCTGTATTCTGCTGGTAACTTCATTTGACTTATCTTCAACCCTGGGAAGTGCAGTGGCTGGAGTGTATTGGCTTGCAATTGGAATGTTACCACCACTTGGAACCCCCAGCTGGGGTTTCATTCGACATTATAATCCTCTGGTGCCGATAAAATGTCGCACTTTGTGCGACGGCAAAACAGCACCTGCACTGACAGACTTTGCCTGCTACTGGGATACGGACTCCACCACTGCTGACGTGCCCGCAGTGTCAGAGTATCGCAGTTCCACAAGTCCGATTGGTGCAGTGTGCCGTGTTCATGGTAATTATTTAATGGTGTGCATTTGCAGTAGACGATTTGGTAGTTGAAGCAGACTTTGTCATGGGCAATGTGCCCTCTACTTGGCCGCTCAGGCATACGTGTCCTCCCGTGTTGCCGTATCACCACGCCCGACACGTCTGTGACACGCTCGTATCTGACAACACATCCGACACGTGCGTCCGCCATAGACCTGATTGAAATAGACATATCTGGCACACGTACAGTACGTATTTGACACGCAAGTTCAACGCGCGTCTGCCGTGCACATACCTTGCATGCGTCTTTCAACACATCTATGATGCACCTCGCCTGACCGGTTCAGCCGGTTTTGTACACGTCGAAGTAATGTTGAAATTTGTTCGAAGTTTTATTTTAAAAAGTATCGCATCACATTCTGCCTTTTAAACCACAACTGTCAAAAACAAACTGCTGCTTTCTCTTGACTTTTAATTTAAAACAAATAAGCACAAAACAAGTTTCCTCGTGTACACGTGTTGAACCCAATGCAGCCGCCCGTGTCACTCACAAACGCGAGTCTCGTGCACCAGACGCCACGTCTACATTCACAAGCGAGCGGATGCTGTCACCCCGGTTCAACGCAGTTTATCCCGCAGTTTACATAAACGATACTGTTTTATAAAGTACATCGAATCCTTACAATAAAGGTTTTATGTCAACAAAGGCACAAACGTCATCCCCCATATGGATAAATCTTCCCCCATACCAGGATTGTCATAAATGCAACACAACTGAAACGTGTCGCACCTGACACACACGTGACACATACACATGTGATGCATGTCACTATCCAATTCACATTTCTGACCCACCCATCTGGCACACGTCTGTAGCATAAGAATGAGTCCTTAACACAGGTGTTAACAATTGTGGAAATTCTAAGAATCAAAGATGGTCTTATTTTCTAAACAAGTAAAATCTGCAGTAAAATAGTCTGCACACAACTGAATAGCATGTATTCACACTGATATCTTTACAATTACAGAGTAAATTATATTTATGAGATATAAAGCCTAACCACTGCTTGTAAAATGCAGAAAAAAACATAAATGGCGCAGGCACTGATATACTGATTACAACGGGTCGACTCACACCTGCAGCCCGAGATGATTCAAATCACCCCAATAATAATCCTGAGTGGCTTCAAAGTTCTTCTCACGGAAGACTGATTTACAGACTGATATGATCTCTGCCCGATGCGAGCACAGCCCCTGCTCCCTCTTGCTGCTAAACTGACAGCATCGAGCCAACCCCACTCACGAAACCGGTGAGGCCCTCGCTGTCGACCTCAACAAGACTCAGCTGTTTCTACTCTGTTATGGTACAAACACCATCAAGTTAATTATGACTAATGGGTGTGTGGCTATAGGGGTAAATAGGTTCCTCCTTATAGGACAGTGGGTTTTGGTTATATTCTCTTAATACAATTTTAACCCAATGTCATTGCGTGTTTCTGTTTAATGTGTGCACAGTCACCGTGGCAAGTGTCTCTGGTAATTGATGTCTCCTGGATTTTGTGATTTAAATAATTGTTCATGTGTAGTGTCAAAAGATGAGTATAGTATAAAATGCTATATGAATCCACATTGTTGTTTAACAAGATAATTATGTTTCGATTTAAAGCTTTCGTGACTGCAGGGATTCATCTTGGTTCTTTCGGTAAAGTCACGTAGAATGGAAATAATAAAAATAAAACATTTAATAATTCTCACGACGTTTCGGCCACAACGCAAGCAGCCGTCCTCAGGTGGAGAACAGGTCTGTCGAGAAGACAGAGTCTGAATGACACCCCAGGCTTGGAGCGTCTATTTAAGCTGGGATGGAAGGGGGAAGAGCGCCTTAACAAAATAATTTGGATATCAAGATGAATTTAGCATATTTATGGGAAATGCAGATATGCGATTAGTACTACTTGTGAAATGCGTAGGTTTGGCGGGGGGTTTAAAGTCATTATGTCCGTGCATTATGCAGGATTAGCATCAAAGGGAGCGGATAGGGGTAACATTAATAAAGGGAAGGAATGTTAATAGTATGTAGCTGTAGTAACTAAATCACCACGTAAACAACTTAAGTATAAACTACATAGTATCAACAGTATACTAAATATACTCACCAATAGGCTAAGCTACTAACAGTAAGTAATACATTACAATTCTATGTCGCAAAAAATATAATATGCTTTCAGCTAAACTTAATTCTCTTACATCACACGGGTCTACACTGTACTATATACTGCGATAGACAAACCCAACATTAAATGATATACTGTATTACTATACACCACATTGTAATATTACACTATGTATTATTCTACCCACCCTACTGTATATCACACTGCTGTATATTCACTATACAATTACGAAACTATATATTACTTTGTACATTGTATTAAACATTACAATTTTATACTATTTATTATTATACAATCCGCTATACACTATACCATTGACCGTCGCGTGAAAGATACTAAGAGGAAGCAACGAAATATGTCAATGGGAGAGTGGTGGTAGGAGACTTGCAGCTGAGCAAAGAATCCATTCCCTGCGTAGAATGCAAGATATATAGTCAATGCCAGTGAAATAGACGCTCCAAGCCTGGGGTGTGTCATTCAGACAGACCTGTTCTCCACCTGAGGACGGCTGCTTGCGTTGTGGCCGAAACGTCGTGAGAATAATTTTATGTAGAATTTTTATAATTTTATTATTTCCATTCTACGTGACTTTACTGAAAGAACCAAGAAGATAATTATGACTTGTTCGTGACAATGACACTGTTAATAACAATCATCGTGATGTTGATTGTTATTATGAATGGGGGTGAGCACAATTTTGAGATGCGTGACACTTCCCTATCTATCGTGAGTTGGGCAGTCCGCTATTTAACCAGGAGATGCAATAAACCCAGTGGAGTACGAGTAATCGCCGCTATTACAAGGGCGACCTGGCTTCACAACATTTTAGCTTCCATCCACCGCTGATTTACACACTTCCCCAAAGTATTAATCGCCCCTATTATCTCTGTGGAATACATACAATTCCGACAATGTAAACAAAAATAAAAGCACGATTTAATTTAAATATTAAATCTGGCAAAATATTATGTTAACACTATCGGTGTAGATGTGCAACGCCAATTGTCGCAACGTATTGCCCCGACCGCGTTTTGTTGTGGTCCTCACACATTAGTGGCTGTTGATGCGGTCTCACTGACGACTTGAGAGGGTGGTAGATCTGCACCGTTGGTGACCTCATGTTGGTCGCATCGCTCGGCCGAGAGCCGCCTGGGAGGTTGCTTTACCTCACCAGACACTGCGGATTCGTCTTCATTGTCCGTTCCTTGGTATTGTTTATCCATAGCAAAGTCCATGGACGTTGAACAGGAAAAAAAATTTGCCAGCATCGGGAGAACCAAACATCCGAGAATAATAACCAATCCGGAGGCAATAAATGACATTTTATAATCCCCCGTGTAGTCTTTTAGAAAACCTGTGGAATAAAACAAAGAGATTAAAACTTTGAACTCGGATTAAGATGCTGTCTTGGCCAAAGCCGTTGATGTCACCACCACCACACTTGACCACCACACTCTACCCTCCCTCCACCAGACCCCACAGGGGCTGAGCAGGAGACACGCGGCAACCTCCACAATCTGCCCTGACGGTCTCCCACCATCTGGCCTCAGGTGGTCACCGGAGTCGTGTAGATCACCCCAAAAACCACGTTCCGATACAAATTATTCAGTCGTGTTGGCAGTGGTGCGCTCGCACAATTAGCACAATCATTGACGACCGTGTTTTTTTCCTTCAAATTATTGATGCATTTTTTACATTTCTTACCCTTTGTACACAGAAGGGGAAGGGTTTGGGCCAAAAAGCGTTTGTTCAAATCGCACTGCAGTTTAAATGACCGGAGCGAATGTTACGGCCGATCACAGGCCCGACTGAGGGGCACTGTACATTGGTGTCAACGGGCCCGAGGTTACAATAATAAGTATCTTGAACTTCTTTCGCACCGTTCGTAGCCAACAGTTCTAAATTTACTTATGCATGAGTGCCAACACCTAGTTGTTATTTTAGGATTTGTTCTGGTTTACATGTGGGAAGAAACCAGATCATGCAGAGAAAACAGATCGACACAAATGGCGATTATTCCACTGGCTGTACTGCCTTCGCCTAGCAAACCAAGGTATGGCACCTCCTCAGCACCCACGGGAAGAGAGTTTTGCAAGATCTGTGCGGTGATCCAATCCTCACTGCCTACAGTGCTGGGTTAGAGGCCCCGTGCGTAGCCACCACCACCGCCCAGGTTGGTGGATTCGGGCCGAGTTTCCAGTCGGCATCGTTCCCCACCACGCCTCAGTGTGCGTTGTGCTTCAAGTGGACTTCGGCAGCGTTGGGGAGCAGCCAGGAGCTGAGCTCTGTCTAGTCTACTGTGCCTCAGTGTCTTGGTCTCAACTCATTAGCCCAAACGGAAGACAGAACGCATTTCTATGAATCAAAGGTAAAGCAGGTTTCCCTGACTTCTTGTGGGATAAGTCTGTTGTTATTGTATGCATCTCGAACAGGTTCGGTTTGTGCGATTTCGCGGCTAACCTTATTCTACCCAAATTTACCTATACACGCTTTGAATTTATATGCAGCTCTTCAGTCAGACGTGCGACATTGTGTGCACTGTACTGTATGCACGACTCAGCAGGTAGTTGTCTCGTTCGGTTTCGCTTTCTGCGTCCGTTTTTTTGAAAAGCATCTACTATCGCATAAAGCGAAGGAGACCCGTACATTATTACATGCACTTTGATACGTTTATTCCGACTGTTGTGATCCACGTGTTCCTCTCATTGTCTCTCGATGTAATTCCATGCATGTATCTGTAAATGTTTCACTGCGGATTTGTTGACTTTTGTTCCATTTTCTGTCAGTGGTCCACAAAGTTTGGCCAGTAATGCTGTGGGCATGAGGGCTGAGTTATTTGCCTGGGTTACTAAGCGGCTTAAACTAATCCAAATTGAAATTGATGGCTAAATTCACAGGACATGCTGCTCATATATTACAAACATGTTTCTAGCCACGTTAACGCATTGGCTATTGTAGACACGTCCACTTAAGTGCATATTGGCAGCACATTTATTATTTTACAGTTATGATTAGGTTCGCACTTGCTGCCGAGCAAAGGCCAAAAGCCCAATCCGTCAAGCAGCCAACAACAAACAGCGCCATCAACGTTGTCATCGCCAAAAGTTGACGCATTTCTTGAATTGAGCAAGGTCATAATAAGAGCTCTGGAGAAGAAACGATGGGAGGGAATTCCAAAGTGGAGCAGGGCGAGGGAAGAAGAGGTGTTGCGACCTGCAGTGTTTATGATGGATAAGAGAGTGGTGAGCGGGTGGGTGCACTGCGCGACAAACCCGGCCAACATCAATGACGATTATTTGAACTGATCCTGACCCTCCCAAAGGTCGACTCAAATTAGCATCGGGTGCAGTGTGTAAACATTGCCACTGGAGAGACAACGGTGGCCGGGCGTGGTGCTGGCCAAGCACCCCCTCGTGTACCGTGCTGGCCGACTCACTAACAGCACTTGACACAAGTCTATTAAGGCTAGACGGGGGATTTTTGTCTTGTCTTTGTGTTGTGACTAAACAGTGTAGTAGATAAACACAGTACGGATGAGACAAAACAGCCATTATGGTAGAAACCGAGTCCTCAATATGGGTGAAGGAATTAACGAGTTAAATGTTTTTTTTTTATGAACAGTAAGCAAGAGTGATAAGGTAACTGACCACACGCGGGAGAGTGAGCGAGTGGAGTGAATCGGTGAGTGCTGGATCTGCTTAAGATGTTGTGCGTGTGACATGTGCCCGGGATGCCGTGACGGAGATGGAGAGAACGCACCTGAGATTGGAGGGCCCAGCAGGCTGCCAACGCTTTCCAGCAGCATCAAAAAGCCGATTGCACTGGTAATGCGTGCAATCCCAACAATTTTGGAGAGCAAAGAGATACCAATCGGTGCCATCGCGCCACTTGCAAATCCATACACGATGCCAATTATAATCATGTCCATGTACGTTTGTCCAAAAGGGATAATTACAATTATTATTCCTGTCGTGAGTGTCCAAAAGAAAAACAAATGTACCATACGAATTCTGTGCAGATCTGCCAGCCATCCAGAAAACAATCGAGCGACTATATCAGCCACTGCAACGGCAGAGATTACGAAGGCTCCAGACAAACTACTGAAGCCGAGCATTTGCAGGTGGGCCAGAAAGTGCACATAGGGTATAAAAAACCCAGTGTTGATGAAGGTGAATGAAAGTGTGAACACCATAAACCCGCGATGTTTGAGCAAATCCAAATCCAACAACGCATGCAGCTTCTTCAGTGTTGTCAAGGATCGGTGTTTTGCTGCGTTTTCAGTTTGAAACATATAATCTTCTCTCAGGCGAATTGGTCTCAACAAAGCACCACAGACACACAGATTGAGCTCAAGGCCAGCGAGGATCATCAACGCTCCCCGCCATGTGTATGTCTCCACGAGCATTTGAAATAACGGAGAGAAGGCAAAGGACGACATTCCCACGCCAGAAAATGCAATCCCTAAAGCCAAAGATCTCCTTTTATCAAAATACTTAGACAATGTTGATATTGATGGACTGAAGACCATGGCCCAGCCAAAACCTGAAATAAAAAAAACACTCATATTCAACTGGGTAATGTATTCCTGTATCCACGTTTGTTAATTAAGCAGTGTCATACACAAAGTCATACACATTCCCCGTTTACCGCCCTAAGTCAGTGAGAGACATTCAAACGGTGGTAGCCAGTTTATCCATAGGACGACTGTTGATTTGGCCCACAAAGTGTTGGTCAACACTCGTGTCTTAAATGTGACATGAGAACAGCCTTTGATTCCATGTACAAATCGCCATGACACAAGTTAATGTCATCTAGAGCCAGACCGTTTTAGACTTCACATGATCTGGAGACTTCTTATTTAAAGTACATGTTCACGCCTCCTACACATTTAGTTTGAAAGTAACACAGTGATAGACATAAGCAGCCAAATACGCACATATCCATGTGACGTTTTGCCAGTATCAAAGTATAAAAAATGAGAATGGGTTTTATTCTTATATTTTTTTTATATACACACGTTTACACGTTATTCCACACATGCATACGCGTGAATGCGCACAAGCTACGACAAGCGAAAATACCCACATGCACAAGCAAGTATAAATGAATGCGCACACATGTGTGATCATATATACACAAACGCGTGTTACAGGTTGACTGAGCTGAATGTTAGATGCACCACCTGCACTCTACACTGTGACAACCTGCTGAGTTTTAACCGGCCAGGACTTTGCTTGTTGCAAGCATTGCACCACAGCCTCCCATTGTTGCAGGCGAGCAGCTCTTCAGTCAGACAGAAGCTGCTTGGGCATGTGGTGGCTGGGCAATTGTTGAGTAGTTACCCCATCATCAGTAGAGCTCACTGATGATAGGGACTGTCCAGATCTTTAAACAATCTGTGAGCCTCTCACACAATCCAGCCTGGTTAAACCGAGGATGGACCGTAGGCAGGCCATGCTGAATGTTTCAAGCCAGTGTAAAGATTCCTGTAAAACTGAAACATGAAAATAAAAGAGGTCAATTTCGGTGATGAGATTACCTGGAACTTTTGTCTTTCGCAAACCCTCGTTGGCCCAGGATATACTATTTTAAACTAAACTATTTTATTTACCAGGTAAAGCCCACTGAGGTCTTCACTCTTTTTCACAAATGATATCTCAATGAAGTGACTTATCACGTGGAAATTTATAGCAGCCATATACTCTAAGCACATGTTTCTAAATATGGAGGGAATAACCGGAGGACCCAAATAAATGTCGACGCTAACTTGGGGAGAACATGCAAACTCCAAATATCCAGGCATCAGGGTCGGGATCGAATCCACAACCTCCTTCATACCAGGCGATGTAGTTAACATTTCGCCATCGGAGGACCCCTTAACAAGCCCAGTTATATACCTGTGAAAGAACAGTGCCCTGAAATGTTGGTTGCATGGTGAAAGCTGAAGTTCAGACAAATGTTACCTGTCAACAGTCCAAGAGAAAGGTACAGGTGCAGGAGACAGTGTGCGAAGGAAGCGCAAAGAAATCCAATGCACGCTGAAATGCCGCCCACGATCACGACGGATCTCGACCCAAACTGGTTGCTGAGCGTACTGGCAATGGGACCTGCAACGTAAAACATCATACACACACTTTGCTTGCAAGGGACCAAGAACCATTAGTGAACTATTACACTAAATAATATTATGTCATATTGATACAGGACATTTTAAACAAGTATTGTGATCTGTAACTAAATGCAGCGTCTACCGCTGAATTCCAAGAATATAAGTAAATATTTATTGTCATGGTCAGTCCACCAATGGATGAAGGCCTCCCTCCCAAAGCTGTCACCACTTCTCACGATCTTGTGATGCAACATTACATCCGGCATCTGCAGATTAATTGATTTCATCACTCCATCTCCTCTGCGGACTTGACACTTAGACGAGTTCCATCCTTGGCTGCCACTCTTATTATTAACTTTGGAGCTTTCGTGACTGCAGGAATTATTCTTTGGTTCTTTCGGTAAAGTCACGTATAAAGAAAAAATAATAAAATTAATATTTATTTAATTTATTTTTTTTAGAAAAAAAAATTAAATATCTATTTAATTATTTAATTTATTATTTTTTCTTTATACGTGACTTTACCGAAAGAACCAAAGAATAATTCCTGCAGTCACGAAAGCTCCAAAGTTAAGATTTAACCACTTCTACGGGGAAGTTCCAAGTTTACCTTTTTTCTCTCTCTCTCTGGGTTTTTATTCTCTCTCTCTGCCTGTTTATTTAGTGTAATTTTTTCTGTCTACACTCGTTTTTTTGTCGTTCTTAGGTTCTGCTTTGTCTCCGTTCCTCTTGTTTTTATGTTTTGTCTTTCTTTGAAATTTTCACACTTAAATTCTAACTTAGCAATGTTTGAAATACGTAATCGACCAGGCTATGCGTTAATTGTGTGTTGACCGACTTTCTGTGTCGTTTTACATAACATTTCGATGCTTTGCTAGGTTATTTAATTTTAGTGTGTCTCTTTCTCCCCCTAAGCCTGCTCACTCCTTTTTGTTGCACTCATTGACATGTAAATTTTGTCTCTAACCCCTCCCTCTCGCTGCCTCCGCCCCCCTCTGTCTATTTAAGGCCACCCCACAGAGACGATCACCCCTCCCTGTACCTGTGTTGCCCGCTGTGTGTATCTTGGTGATATCTGTCTGCTTATATGTCTGTCTATAATTTTTTCTGGTTAGATTTTATGTCGCTATTTCATTATACCTGATGATGATTGCTTGTGTTGCAATCGAAACGTCTCGTATGTTATTATTTAATTTATTATTTTTTCTTTATACGTGACTTTACCGAAAGAACCAAAGAATAACTCTTATTATTCTTGACCTTCATCCATCATCTCTTTTAGCTATGATGCATTCCTGCCCAAGCCCCGCGTACTTTACAAAATGTATTCATTCATCGCGCACAGTCAGCGAAGGACCATTGCGCCAAACGAGTGACGTTGCGACAGCATTCGCATGAACTGCTTCTTGCTGGCATACACCGGCATCTCGAGTAATTTGTTTGATCCACGGATTACGGGGGGGGGGGGCGCCATTTCTTTGAGGGTCGCAGTGCTCACTTCCAACGTCGACACCAACTTCAGTGAACGCAAATTTGCTGGAGTATGCGCATCAAGATGGGCGACGTGTCCAATAAATGTGTAGGACTTGGAATATGGTGCGCCACGCGTTCTCTTGCGCTGTTGCTATGCAAGAGAGCAGTGTACAGTGGGGGGTATTTGAGGACGATGTTGTTGCTGAGGCGTGAGGGAGACGCCGTTAAGTGGCATAACAGGTGTTAAGGGTAACCGGGGATACAGGCCGGTGATTGGTTAAGAGGGTGAGTGCTTAATGACTGGCGTCGCCCAGGCGGGAATAACAAGGCCACGTGAGGCTGGGGGCCTGGGGGCGAGGGGTAAAGCGGGGGGTGAGATAATTAATAGGGACTGATTGGGGTGGATATAAAAAGGATAGCGTAACGTAGAGACGGAAGTCTTGGTGGAAGCTGGAGTGATGGTGGCCGGTGATGGAGAGTAGGGTAACGGTGATAGAAAAGCGTACGGACTTTGGGAGAGAGAGAAGAGTGTAGGGTAGAAGAGAAGCGTACAGACTTTGGGAGAGAGAGAAGAGTGTAGGGTAGAAGAGAAGCGTACGGACTTTTGGAGAGAGAGAAGAGTGTAGGGTAGAAGGGAGAGTGTAGGGTAGAAGAGAAGCGTACGGACTTTGGGAGAGACGGAGAGAGCGGAGCGGGATCGCGGAGCGAACGGGGAGACACGGAGCGGTGACGATGAGGAGGTGAACTCTAAGTGAATAAAGCGAACGGAAAGACAACCCGAGACACGAGTCCTACAAATGTATTGAACTTTTTTTTTAATGCAAGAATGTTTTGTAACACAATACATACCGCTCACAATGCATAGAAAGCAGTATTTAGAAATTGATAATTCAGTGAAGCTTATTGTTGGATTCTGGGTTGCATTAGTGAAGCGATTAAAACATATATTTCGCACAGCATGTTTCAATATACTGTACAGTAATTTGCAGCATCTAACTATAAGCGCATGGTTCAACCCAACATTAAAAAGCAGAAATACTGGTCTCTGCCCGTATGGATCCACCTCCACTGCCTTACCGAAGACAACAAAAGCTATCATAGCAGCAGCTAAGATAGCTCTCGAGTTTAGCTGTCTAAACTCGAGAGCACATTTTAACTTCATTAATTTGGTGTAATTTGTGGAGTGTATTATCTACTTTTATGTCTAACTAAAGCCCACATCTAATAGTCTAATCGACAGGGTCGCTATCTGTAAACATCAGGCAGCTCATCAGTTTAAGCGGGCCTGGCTCTGTTGATGAGACACGTAATGTGAACACCAGTCCCGAATTTGCTTGTGTAATGGGTTCCGGAGACACTTGTAGAGGTAACTTCTTTATTACAATACAACACTCCAACAGTCCTGATACAGCCTAGGTACACAGCCTACATACACTACTCTGGCTACGCTCTGGGGTCCTCCGGCTAGAATTACCCTAGGGGAGGCTAATTGACCCAACCCAGCCAAGGTGCGGGTCTGGACTCTGGCTTCCTCGGAACTCGCCCTTACAAGGACGTAGAGCCGGGAGTCCCAGAGTCCCACCACTGGCCCTCACAGCGTCCCGGCCCTTACAAGGACCAGCGGGACGAGGGGGTCCAGGGTCCTAAGCTGGCTCGTCTTGGGTCTTGGGTCTTGAGCTGCGACTGGCCCCGATCGGCCAGGGAGCTGCCCTTTTATGCCTCGTCCCCAACGAGGGGTGGGGTTGTGTGCACCCCCAGATATCCCACAGAGCACACACAGCCCCCCCGTTGGTGGCGCCAAGGGGCTTAACTGTCTGGGGTGACTGGGATCCTAGCGCCTGACGCCGAGGACTTATCTTCCTAGGATACCAGAGCCCCCAGCAGCCCCTCCCCTCTTATGTCACTACACTTGTATTAAACCACCTTTTCTGAATTCATGAACGCCCCAATAGCTGTGTGGCCAATGGGACAAGTAAAAATAACACTTTAATGTTTTACGTAAAGAGACGGTTATGGGAAGGAGGTGCATCGTCTGTAGTTATTTTGTTATCATTGTGACATCATTTTATCTTTCCATTTTCACAGATGACGTGACTGATGTTCAAAGTTAATGTATAAAGTGGTCATATGTGAATTCTAAATCGTTCATTTGTCACCGTCGAGAGTTGTTTGGGCACCGCAGTGTAGAGTGTCAAGTGTGACCTGCAACCATCTCAATCTTTCTGCCCCCTCTTCACTCTGAAGAGGCTGGGACCGAATTGTTGTTCGATATATTCCGTGATAAGGCATGATTACGGATGGATGTGGGCGAGTTCATATTTATCAACTAGCATATTTGCCCGTCCTAGGACGGAAGCTGTCATATTTACGAAAAAATCGAGCAGAGTATAATTGTATCTTGCGTAAATGCAATGGCAGTGAATCTTGCACGAAACGAAGTCATCAAACACTACACTTCATGTCACTGTAGCACTGTATATAAATGAACCTTCAATTTGTTCAAATTCACTGCCTTGATACTTTATTCTCTTCTGCTGTCGGTCGCTGGGGTTGAAATACATTGGAAATCGATACAATATCTGGAAAATCAGCGAGAAATATCTATTTTACCATATTGTAGAAGAATAAATTTGACTTATCTTTTGTAACGTCACGTACGGATGTAGCACTGTGCTGCGTATATTTATTGTTTAACGTCACTTTATGTAAAGAAACGACAGCAAATAATTATTTATTTTATTAACTTTCAATAAAGAAACGTCAAATTTCAAGCAAATTTGCGTAATTTTTTTTTATTTCCCCTCAACCTGCGGGAGTGTAAAAATCCACCCGCTCATGATTATTTTATTATTAATTACGGGGAGGGGGGGGGGGGTGCGGCACGTGGAGTGACGTCACGCGCATTGCACACATTTCTGGGCTATTATCGTAGTAATACTACAGATGGTTTATGTGCAATGAGCCAACTCAGAACTCCCTGTGCTAAACTACCGTTCAAGTGACGATGCGGTGCTCATACCCTCAGTACACCCCTGAGCCAGTGGTGGAATTTGCACCCAGTCGACTGATCCACAAAGTGGTTCTTATTGTATTGACCTCAGATGGATGACGGGATCAGTGAAACCCCAACCAAGATTTCAACATGTGTAATGTGAGGATATATCCGGGTCGTTGACAGATCACAACTCGTCACGATGATTGGCTCTGCCGGTCCTGGTCCATAGCCAATGGGGGGAAGCCTAGGGGCGTGGCCCTGACGTAATGGAAAGGTGACAGCTGTAAGTAGAGGATTGGTTCTGCTGGCTTTAGCCACAGCTAATGGGGAGACGAGTCAGGGGCGTGGTCCCGGAAGCCTGCGGTGGAGTCTGGAAGATTCCATATAGGCTAACCAGGATTGGTGGAAACGTACCACGTGACCCGGGTATTAAATAGAGGTGGAGACGAATAACACGTGGTCAGAACTGGAACGAACGAAGGGAAGAGGCCACGCGAGAGTGGGGGTCCAGGCTGCCACGTGACTGCACG